AAAAAAAAAAAAAAAAAAAAAAAAATTAAAATAAAGCAGTGGCAACATTTTTTATCTCTTTCTTTTTGAAAAGAAACAATCCAAGTTGGAATATTTATAAATTCGAATACAACGTCAAAGATATCTGTTTTCGAACAAGTCCAGTGTGGTGCCACATAACGAAAAGCTTTATCAACGACATCACAGATGGTGGCTAAAGGTATCGCCTGTAGAATTAGCCGCTTTTTCGTGAATTTTTTTGTGCATGCTGCGTCTCCCTTTTTGTATCAAAGTCGATATTCTTGTTACTGGAGATGCTAAATATAATGGAAGACGAAGAAAAAAGAAGAAGAGGAATAAGAAAAATAAGAAAGCTGCCCCAAATGCTACAAACAACGTGCCAACAAAGTAAGCAACTATTTTTTTTTGGATGGCTGAACAAATGGAAGCTTCTATCGTATATCGAAAACAACAGAAAGGTATCGTTGATCGTTTTTGAGAACAGAATGTTTGAAAAAGACTTAGTGAAGATAAAGGGCGCCCGTTGTGGAGTAATAGGGAAGCTGTGGAAGGATGTGAAAAAGCGGGAGAAAGAGGATGGTCTTATTACTATCACAGTTGATGAACTCAATACCTCCAAGGCTTGCAACAATTGTGAAAAGATTATTCTTGAACCTGCAAAGCGCACTCGCGGCAACAGTATACTGGTCTGTAAAACCTGCAATACATTGTGGCAGCGAGACATGAATGCTGCAAAAAATATGATGACAATCTCTTTATCAACTTGGAGAGGAGATGGTCGACCAATTGTTTTTCAGCGATCTAATGAAAACAGCAATAGGGCTACTTAGCTGCAGTGTTTGATTTATCTTTGTTTTTTTTATTTTTTATTTCTAATACATCAATAAACTAGTTAATACAATAAGAATTACAAGTATTCAATAACCTCTTTATCAGTTCTTTTTAAAAGTGCATCCCAATAGGTATCAATATCAAAGTTAAAGTTGAATTTTCCACCCAAGCTTGCCTCTATTTGATCAGATGAAATACAGTCTTCCATACAAATGACATCTTGGCTGTTCTTATTAGTGTCTTCATCTATAAATTTGATTTTATTTCTTGTGACAGGATCCATAAAGGGAGCAACCATTTTGAATGTAGTCAAGAAAAACCATGGAGCTATTTTATTAATGAGTTAGTATGCACTTTAATGAAACAAGATAAACCTTACAATTTACAAAAAATGCCACGCCTAATCTTTCAGGGTAATGGTTTGCTAAGATATCTATAAACTTTTTACACGTGCTTGCGCTTGGATTACTGGTAATGGATGATCCTTTAAAGTCTACTACGATAGACACCTTTTCTACTTGTGGAGGCATCAATCGGATACCTCGTTCTAAATTGAATACAACATGCCTAATCTGTCTATCCGAATCTTTGGAATTTTCATTTCTAGGCTTCATGATCCACAATGGTTTACCCGTCTTGTCATAACCATTGTAATACATTTTACCAGTTTCTGCCTAAATATGTTATTAATGGCACATCATCTTTTATCATCAAACGTATACCTCTGGTCGAATCATCTCTGGATCCAATTGATCGGGCCTGAACTCTCTTCTCCACTTTATCGAATTCTCCAACATTGCCTTGGCTGCCTATATGCCACTATCAATCAAGCGCTCTCTCTTTATGATCATATTGTCTTTCTTTTACCTCCAAGTCCCACTTTCTGGCTCGAAGATAGCGATTGGCCGTTGCTTCCGTCAGAAATCCTTTTTCATTGGGATAATACTCATGTTCTTTCGGGAGCATGATACCTTCCACATACTCCATCAATGCATGTACTTTCTTCTTTTGTTCTTCATCTAATGGGTCGTTCAATACAGGTTGATAGTCTGTAGGCGGAGTGAGAATGGGTTCTTGAGTCATGGGTCCAAGGTCAACTGTGGTAGCCGTGACAGAGGATTTTGTGCTGGCTGCTGATGATTTTGTATTATTATTATTATTAAACTTGAATAAATTCATCTTCTATTTTTTTTTAGGAAAAAAGGGAAAAGAAAGAGATCCTAACACAAGAAGAGACAAAAGGGAGTTTTGATTGAGTTCGGGCTTCTGAGGATGGCGACGGGATTATTTCCTAAAAATAGTATCTTGTCGCAATTTTTCAAATGAAAATGACAGTCTGGGATAGAAGGTAGAAATCCCTAGATGACAAATGTTTCTAGCGACAAGCGTGAATGGCAGTCACCACTTTAACTCATTTATAATACAAAATGTCTTTAATCATCTCTTAGGATTGACTCAACTAGCTTCAATCATACGATAGAGCTATTGATTCCTATATTGATGCACTGTTGCTTGACAGGATACAACACGATCAGTAGATATTCAGAAATCGATAGATTCTGTCGTATTTATCCTGTAGATCACTTTTTTATCTATAATACAAAGAGACTGACCGCAAAACATGTTATTATTACATAACGCGACATACGCAATTATCATTGATGTGATTAATGCACGTAACAGCTTGCTTGCATACAAATGACGATACTGTAATAACGATCCCCCTCTCGTCTTAATTCATAATAAAGACAGCCTCATTATCTGTATATTATCTATGGTGATTATTTTGACTATATCACAGCCTCTGGAAAATGGCCAGTCTGTATTATCTCCATCATGCAATGCAATTGGGGGTACTGCGAAGTCAAGCCCCCTTTAGGAAGCTGGTAAACATTTTAGTACCAATAGACAGTTTTGAATTCACGATATTCGGATAAACACAGGCTAAAATTTCATTGGACCCAAGCTTATTTGTTGTCCTTCAGGGCGCTGATAAGTTTATCCATTATATCTTCAGGCTCTCTTTTTACGCCAATAAAGTAGTCCAATGATAATCATTCATTGAATAGTTTTCTCTTCATATTATGCTCATTTTATAAGACATGAGTAGTCAACATATCTTTCTCAAAGTATACTTTATGTTAAAGATGAGGGATAACAAGATCCATTCTTTTTTTTATTTGGGATATAAGTTTAGGTATGGGTTCCTCCTTTTTGCAGCTCCAATTGTAATCGATTCGCCAACCTATGAAAGATGTCAGTTTATTAATAACCAGCAATCATTCACTTACTTTATAAGTTGCTCATTTTCATCACGATGAGCTAAGCAATCCTTCTTCATGTCTTCAATGAGCGCTTGGCTATTGTTATGAAGTATTTCCCAATGGTTTGCTCTTTCTTGGCACCTGTAAATTTGCTTCTCCAACTCTTTCATTTTAATCTTTTTTTTAAAATCAAAAAATAAATATTATCACATCAAATCATAAGAGTGTAATACTAAAAAATCACTCAATAAAAAAAGAAATAATACATAAAAAAGGGAGGAAAAGCTTTAATTCCCCCATTTCTCTTTCTTTTTGTGAAAAAGGAAGAAGAAGAAAAAAAGGAATGAAAAGAAAACTCACCTCGTATCCTTCAACTTCTCTGTCATATTTCTCTTGTTCCATTTTCTTTTCAATCTGTAGTTTTTCAAGTTCTTTTTGCTTAGAAGCTACTAGTGCCTTTACTCGATAAGCGTAGTCTTCCAATTCTTTGTTTTTGGCGTCAATCGTATGCTGGTATTGCTCATGCATGGCTTGAATTTCTTTCTTGTGTTGCTCGGCTATTTGAATCAATCTCTCTTCACTAACACTACCTGAACCACTTGACTTTTGCTGCTGCTCTAATTGAGCAATTGTCTTTCGAAGCTCCTGAATAGCATTTGCCTTTTCCTGACCTAGCCTATTCAACTGACTTTCATGTGTTTCTTTAATCTCGGCCAATCGAACTTTCAAATCATCCAGCTCCTTTTGCTTTGCCTCGTACCGTTTGACACACTGTTCATGGCTTGTGTCATGAGACTTTGTGTTGATATCATCTTGATTACTTGAGGAGCTTGGGGTTGCTTTAGCCGTATGCTCGAAGCGAACGGTAGCCGCTTCTAATGAATTCTGCAAGGTCTCCACCTGGAACAAAAGACTCTCGATCTGTGCTGATCGCTCTTCAATTTCCGTTTCCTTTTTATCGCACGTCTGCTTCAACAACTCTATTTCATTCTCATATTGTTCTTTGACAGCTGTAAGCGATTCATTATGTGCTGCTTCTTTTCTCTGTAACTCATCGTGTAATGCGTGAACCTCTTGTTGCGTTGCCTTTGTTTTTTCTAACCAAGCCATGGCTGTATCATCAGTGCCGCTTTGAAGCTGCCTGATTTCTTCCCTATGACGTTGTTCAAGGGCGTCAACATGAAGTTGAGACTGTCTTTTGAACTCCTCTAAAGTCAATTTAGCGTTTGCTAGTTCGCTTTCTACCTTTCGGATATGGCTATTTGTTTGTGATTTCTCCAAACTTGTGATCTTCTCATTTAACTCGGCTATCTCTGACGCATGTCTGTCACCATTCTCTTTATGTTCCTCTTTTTCCTTTTGCAGCTGAGCTTTTAATTCAATATTTTCAGCCTATACACATCTTGATTGAGCATAGATGTTTCCCTCCCCAAGTTGTTTCGCTCTTGGTGCTGTAAACAAACGTACCTTTATAAAATCAAGTTGCTTTGTGATATCAGTCTGCTTTGACTGCATCGTATGGATTTTCTCCTCATATTCTGCTTTGGTTATTGCCATCTCTGATCTAAGCTTTTTCTCTTGTTCTTCCAGCACCTTTTCCATTTCTTCTTGATATTCTTGTTTTAATTTAGCTTTGACTTCCTTTTGAAAAGAGAAAAAAAGGTAAAGAATGTGAGATACGTGTTCAGTATGTGATTTTCTACTTTTTCATTACTTGTACAGCTTTCTCTATTGAATCTTTATCATTGTTTTCTGCTTCCTACAAGAGACGATTAAGGCTATGTCACTAATATCATCGCTCTCTCTCTCTTACATCCTTTGTCTTGTTAGACTCCAATTGCTTCTTTAATTCGTCTATTTCCTCTTGTAGCTTTGATACACTCTGCTTGTGCTATATCCAATTATCGTGTTTGCCTTGTTTCCTTAAATTACTGCTTTTTTTTTTTTTACCTCTTGTTTTAAATTTTCAATCTCCTTTTCTTTCTGTTCAAGTAGTTCCTCCTGCTCAGGCACCTTCTCCTTGATGGTTAATTCTGCCAAGCCGACTGGTGTGGACATGCGTTTGGCAGCATTACTTGTGCTTGGTGAGTGATTAACAGACGACCTACGGGCCAGAGGCGAGTTGGGCGGTCTATTAGATGCAGTCGATGAGGGCACAATGGACCTACGTTTAGTAACAGTTGGCGATGAGGCTGCACTTGAAGTTGGGGTGGTACGATCTGTCTTGATGGCGGCAGGTGGTGCCTTTCGAGTGACAGGTGTCTTGCTTGGTCGAGTGGCAGAAGGTACTGTAGAAGGTCTAGTTGCCGTCTTGGTCTTACTTGCTGTTGATGTAGGTGAAGTTCGTGTGGTAGGTTTTGGACTAACAGGCTCTGCACCCGGCTTGATGCCGAGTTCTGAAAGAATGGACTTTCTTTTTACAGAGGAAGCACGACCGACTGTGGTCGAGGCCTTTTCTGTCATAGTTGGCGGTTTACAAGGGAAAAAAAGAAAAAGAAAAGAGAAGAGAAGGAGAGAGACATAATTAAACCAAAAGACAGCTCTATTTTAGTGCAACATTACACTTTTGTCATGTAGTCAATTACCCAATTTCGGAATATTAACACGAAGCTTAAAGGTTTAATCTATTTATACGTTCAATAGAGCTAAAGATGTATCAGTATCCTGGATTATGGTTGTTTATTACCTTGAGGTTTATTTATAAAGCGTATTACTATTTATTTGTTGTTGTTGTTGTTGTTGTCTGAGTGACTTGTATCATCCAGTGGTTGATTTATTAAAGAAGGTACACACGCATATATGCCTAAAAGAAAGCGAGATTACTTCATAAGCCAAGGCAAAATGACAGAAATGCAAAAAGAATATTTTACAAGGAGGGGCAGATGACCAGTCTTCCAAAGGGAATTACGTTGTATGATCTTGACACTGTTATGGAAGGAGATATTCTATATCTTGTATTTCGTATCCACAAGCCAACTATATTATAAATTCTTCAAAAAAGTAAAAATAAAGATCAAATATATAATTTGCAAGTCATACGGATCGTCAATGGTCTCTTTGAACACACAATTATTAATGTGTATAGCATCATTTGGCATGAAAATGGCTACAGTTATTATTAAGCACAGTTGAACCTCCGCGCAGACTCGTATAAATTCTACCCTTTCTTTACTTTTTTTCCTTTTTTCTTTAAACAAAGCAAAAAAATAAAAAATGAAGGGTGTTCGCGTTTCTCTTGAAAACTTTGACGAAAAATTAAATGAATCAGTTGCCACCGGTAATCCTGTGTTTGTTCTCTTCTTTGGTACAGAAGTCCCCGAGACTTCTGAATCTTGGTGTCCTGATTGTGTGATTGCCGATCCTCTTATTAGAAAGGCCATTAGTCCTATTGAAAATGCCATTTTATTAGAAGCTCCCGTGGGTGCACGTAACGAATGGAAAGGAAATACAACACATCCTTATCGTGTGCGTTTTGGACTTAGTGCTATTCCTACTTTATTCAAATGGACAAAGGTATGTATAATGATTATATGTATATACTTTCTTGCTGACTCTGTGTCTTCAGGAGGGCCCTGGTGCTAGATTAGTAGAAGAAGACTGTGCAGACATTGAAAAGCTTAATGAATTTGTCAGAAACTAAATGTAAAATAAATCCTCTCTTTATTATATACTGAAACCAGAAATTGTCAACAATTACACTTTGTGATCTGTGATCTTATTGCTTCCAGCTTGACAGCATATAATAATGCATAAAATGATCCTCATCTTTTTGAGAGATATAAGATAAAAAGAGTCAAGATCTCTTGAAGTATAATGTGATCAACACTTTATAACAAAGCTGTAAGATATTCATTAGAAATCATCTTTGACTTTAGCTTCTTTCTTTCTTCTTCTTTGGATCAAAAAGAAGACCAGCTATTATTCAGTTAGCCCTGAGGAATATATTATATTGTAAACAGCTCGTACTCAACATCAAAAGTTATTACCAGCACCATTAATGCTGTCGAAAGAGACCTTTTAATTTGCGGACAATGCAGAATGGGCTCCTATTCTTTGCTTTAGAAAGGAACTTGGTATTTATCGTTCTTTTGGTTGGTTCGAGGGTGAGTTTATGCTGTCCTTTCTCTTCATCGACATAAACCTTCTCCTAAACTTGATGATAACCCTGCTGCTCCTTTTTTGCTTTCCAGGCTAGTATACCCGTACATTGCCGCCACTGCCATTTTGTTGGCCATACATATTGACCAAGTGTCCTATCTGTCGTGACCATCTCGCACGTTGTTATTGGCCATGTGTCTGTGATTTCCGTCTATAACGTGCTTGCACCGTCATCTACACTCATATCTCAGTTGCTTCTTCCAGTGGTCCTTTCTCAGAAAGGCCCCACGTTTCACCTTGCCACCCTCTGACATAACCTCCCATACCTGCATTGTTGCTTCATCTGCCGCTATTGTCGCAAATGACACCCATGAATGTGAAGAGGGTAATGAGAGCTGCTCATATATCTTCTACTGGTGTCAGACCTTGAAAGAGGCCCAGAATCCGTGCGGCCACAGTCCGTTATTTTTAATAAAGGTGTGTAACTTTTATGTCCATTTTATATGAATCAGATTTATTGCATGAATTAACCATGTCCAATTCAACTGAGCTTGACGCGTTATTTAAATATAATGTATTTTGTGATGAGTCTTTTAGTGTTGCTCTTTCCTCAAGTCGGCTTTAACAATAACATGAGGTACTTATAGGGTAAATATGACGGATATTCTGTATGAAATATTGTACATAATATCGTGTAAGTGTGGTGTGCCTAATGCTATTTGCATATCAGCAAATAGCAAAACCAGTGGGTAAGAAGCAACAAGTTGTATATCATAGAATTTGACAAAGATCTAATCTTTAGATAACTAATAGCTTCGCTCTCAGTTATTCGCAACGGAAATTGACACTTCAACATTTTATTACATCTATTGTATTCGGGAAAAGCTGATATACCCAAGACTGGAAGGGGTAACAGTAAATCCAAGATTAACAGCAAACCAACCATTTGAATACGTAAGTTTTTAGCATGTAATATGGAATAAAACTAAATCGTATACTTAATAATTTTACTAGTGTTCTTTTCAAATGAATTCTTCAACAAGAATTCTGTGCCACTACCATTCATTTTCCAAGGCATGTTAGGATTTTTAATGCCTGAGATATTCGCGCTTATAAGCGGAAAACAGTAAAGAATCGTTTACTGAATACTGAGAGGTTCTCCCTTCTCACTGCCTGTATCTCAAACTCCGTTTGTAGTGCCTTCTTACAATCTCAGCAAATCTGTAGCACTCACAAATTGGTGCTACTTGTACCCTACATACAGAATCCTTAGATCACAGAACATTGGTATTACATCTATTCTATTAGCACTAAATATCGTATGAGACCATTGAATGAACTTGACTAAGTACTTTTCTTGGTAGTCTATGACCATTGACTGCATCTTATCTGTTCTTCATTATATTTTTCTCGTCTAAAAGAAGCTGTTTGTAATAACAACTTGTTCCAAACTATAATAGATTCTTACAAAGATTAATTGAATTTGTACGATATTCTTTTTCTTTTTTCGAGCCTCTCAACTGAGCTAACAAACTTGGTTGAACAAAGTACATCCTGTGTTGGCATAAATAGTAGTTTGTGTAATGTATGCAAGATTCTTTCCAAGATGACGCGATCCAATTGCGCAAAATGTTTAAAGAGTGATAGCATTCGATCCTGAGATAAATCAAAGCCGGATTAGCTGCATCGTAATAAAAGCAACATAACGTGTAACCACGTTATTGCTGATAGTAATTACGACATACGACAGCGGATAACAGACGAGGTTAAAAGGACCTACTTGAAAGCTGCATTGGATTCTTTCCTTTTTTCTTTCTATATTTATTCATTATGAGATTTGCATCTCTTAGTTTAGGACTAGCTGCATTATTTGGCTTGGTCTTAGTTGGCGATGCTGCAAAGGCAAAAGATAGCAAGCCTAACATCGTATTTATCTTTACGGATGATCAAGACTACCGGCTCAAATCTCTAGATTATATGCCAAATGTGCAAAAGTATTTGGTCAAAGAAGGCACTCTTCATAGAAATCATTATGCCACTATTTCTATTTGCTGTCCTAGTCGTGTCGGCTTACTCCGAGGGCAATATGCGCATAACACAAAGTAAGTTGGTTATTGGTACCAGTGACTATAGTTAACATTATGACAGCATTACCGATGTATCTGTTCCTTACGGCGGATACGGTAGATTTAATGAACTTAAGCTTGGTGACGATTATTTACCACTTTGGCTGCAAAAAGTAACATAATGCATATCAATGAAGAATATCAGACTTATATCGTCTTTACCTTAGGCTGGCTACAACACAAACTATATTGGTAAGCTCATGAATCAGTACTCTGTTAACAACTACAATAAGCCAACGCCAAAAGGGTAAGTTATACAAAATACTCAATGTCTTGTACAACTGACAACTTAACCTTTACAGATTTAATTACCAAGGTAACCATAATTTGTCGTACAGAGAAATGTTTGAGTTCTCATATTTATAAAGATCAATTGGTGGACCCTTACACATATGTGTATAACACTGCTGTCTTTTCTAAAAACGGCGAAGCTCCCGTTTTCTATAAGGATGCCTACCAGACAGATATCATTCACGCCAAGGCACGTGCGGCCCTGAAGCGACTCGAAAGCTCCGAAGATCCCTTCTTTCTGTGGGGTAGGTGGCATTCAGGGCATATGTAAGAACTTTAACTAACGTGCTTCTTTCAAACAGTTGCCCCCATGGCTCCTCATGCACAGTTTATAATACACGGTCATGGTAATATATCAACCAGTAATGCCGTACCTGCCGCTCGCCATGCTCATCTCTTTAAGGACGTTAAAAGTAAGTACACTTTTCTTTAATCAATGATATGCTCTTATCTTTTACTTTGTCTAGTCCCTCGAACAGCTCATTTCAACCCTAGTAAGCAAGCAAAAACAGCTTCGTACTGGAAACACCTTGAAAGACTAAACCAGACCGAGATTGATGAGATTGATGAAGCCTACAGAGACCGTCTACGATCCTTACAGGCAGTAGACGAAATGGTTGGCACTGTCTTTGAAGAACTGGAAAGACAAGGAAAGTTAAACAATACCTACGTCTTTTATAGCTCTGACAATGGATATCATCTTGGACAACATCGATCTTACCCTGGCAAATGCACCAACATAGAAGAAGATATAAAGTAAGAACCAAGGAAACAAAGGTTGACCTATGTTTGACTAACTGCATTTATTTTCTAGTGTACCTTTCATCGTCCGTGGTCCTGGCGTACCTAAAGGCAAAGTGAGCGATGTAGTCAGCTCTCATCATGATTTAGCATCCACATTCCTTGCTTTAGCTAACGGAGACGAGGTTGTACCTGATTGGGTTGACGGGGGTGTGATTCCCGTCACTCATAAACTCAAGCATCACCGAAAGCCGGTTTCAAAAGAAAGCTTTGCCGTAGAATTTTGGGGGGATAACGTGATTGATGAAATTATCACAGGCGCTCCTCATGGTCCTAATTTATATAAAACACTCCGTGTTATCTCTGAAGATTACAACTACATGTATTCTGTCTGGTGCACTGGAGAACACGAGCTGTACGATTTGAAGAAAGACCCCTATGAGATGCATAACTTGTACACATCTGCAAGCACTCAACTTACCAACCGTCTTGATGCTCTCCTTGTCGTCCTTAAATCGTGCCGCGCACAGTCATGCCGTGACCCTTGGAGAATCCTTCATCCTGATGATCATTCAGTAAAGACGCTCAAGGATGCCTTACATCATAAATACGATGCTCACTACACTCAATTCAGAAAAGTCAAACTTGAAGAATGCTTACCTTACTATAATTTAGCAAATGAGGTACCCCAGATCGGCGAACATTTCATCTCAAACATCACGCACACCAAGATTCATGCTGTAAAGAGTGACCAAGCCATAATCCAAAACTTGCACAAGAGACAAGAAAGGACGAGTCGTATTCCTGAAGAGTACCATAAATTGTATAATTTGATTCCTAAGCCTTCTGGTGAGGTTGGCCATCAAGTGCCGGGAGACGACTTTGAGCAACACGCCAAGCCAGTACCATCAGAGTTGATAAATACGCCCGTTGATTGGTCCAAATACAACTTTTACGGCTATGGAAATTAGTAAATACATTAAGCCGCGTTTTGTGCCTTGAATAAATAGATATTCTTTTATTTAATAATGACATTATTTAGACAACCACTTATTTTTAAATATGTTCATGCTTTTTTTTATCATGCCGATCTATAAGCAACATATGGCACAATATGCCATGAGCCGTGACCATACCAACAAGACCAGGCTGAAGCTCGATGTCAATGGTCGTGGGCGCACTTGTTATGGAATTATCGATCGTTTTTTCCTCTTCTGTCATCATTCTTTCTTCACTACATGCCTGACATATACATCCAAAACACTTTTTTAAGCGGCAATGTATAGATCGTTTATGACTGGGCGTGTCTGATGCAGTCGATTTTATGGTTCGTTTCCTTTTTACCATTTCAATGTCTTGCTCCGTCCGGTATACGAGAATGACTTGTTCGTGTTTTCTAAAAGGAGAAATTTTAAAACCAGGGCTTTTGCTTATTTGGCAATGACCGTTTTATACCTTTCTACTACTTGCAGTAACAAATCTGCAATAGGTGTAGATGAGCCTACCTTCATGTAGGGGTCGAGCTTCATACTGCCCACAGGATTTGAATAAGCCTCTTCTTTATGTAGATTCTATATCATAAACTTTGTTCTCAATGATAAAAGTGGCAAGATGTAAATTCAGTGGTTACTTACGGCAAGTGCGATGACGCCAATGACGCTACCCTCCTCCATGGGTGACCCCTTGGGCTCATATACCAACATGTGAGAATACCCGTGACTGATGTATTCAGAGACTAAGCTCTGGCTCAGTATTGTATCTGAAGGTATGAGCAACAAATCATTGCTAGAACCTATGAGATGACCGGCTGTCTGTTCTTGCATGGTCAAAACATTCTGAAGTATATTAGAAAACTCGTGTTTGAGGCATCCAGAATGGCTTTTCGTCATGTCATGAAGATGTATCAAGGCCTTGAGTTCTAAATATCTTGTCAAAAGAAGAGTTCTTTTGATTTATCTATCAATTACCTGGTACTGTATATGAAAATCCATTGTGTGGCCCCAACATCCAGTCTAGGCATTTGGATATGGGCCACGAAATGATGAGCCAGATAGCAATCAAAATACGTACAGGAATGGCAAAGAGAGCGCCAATGGCCAACCCATGCTTTGAACAGATTGCTTGTGGTATGATTTCTGAAAACATGACAAGCAATGCTGTGGATGCAATGACAGACATAAATCCTGGAAAGTACATATTTCATCCCAAATTAATAAATTACAGACATGCATAAAAAAAGATAGGGTTCGGTCTAGTGTTACCTTTGCAGAAAATGCCATCAAATAGGATCGGCAGTGTTTCGTTAAGCACGGTGTTGGTCAGCAATAGGGTCGTCAGCAGGATGTGCCCGTTCTTACGAATAGGCAAGATGCGTGTAGCGTATTTTTGCTGCTTTGGTGTACCAGCAAGTTGGAGTATCTTGAGATTAGTGGTGTCGAGTGACATCTACATTATAAAGAAGTTAATACTACTTTATATTTATACATGTTGAATGCTTCTTTACCAAGCCCAAGGTTAATCCTACGTGCAGTATTGATAAACATAAAATTTTAGATGAAAGCATATCGTGATTTATTTACCGGCAATAATTCCACTTAGCAATACAAGAAATAGAATAGCAATGATTTGACTCCAAAACTCGATTGATCTAACATTTAACTGTCTTGATTCATTGTCATCTGCTGCAAGAGCAAGTACTGGATATAACAATAAAGAAAGTAATAGCATGAAAAGTAAAAAGAGAAAAGAAAACGAAAAAAAAGAAGAGAGAGAGAGATGAATAGTAACAGTAAGCGGTGTACTCCTATTTATAATATCGTTTTTACACGGACAACCATCGGCAGCTCTTTGCTCAACCTCCGGTCGTAAACTGCTGATTCATCTATATAAAGTAGCATGAACGGCTTCTTATGTTCTTCCTGATCAGATCCATAAACTATCAATTCTTGTACTCAATATTTACGATGCAACCTTGAATTCTCCATCAAAAACAAAAGGAGAAAGGGGGAATGCCTTATCGAGTAAGAGGGGATGAGCTCCTTAAAAAGGTTCAATTGAAACGATAGGTGTGGCTATCTTCCTATTACATTTCAATAGTGGCGGTAAACAGAAAGGGCGATCAGTTTCCCTTTGTTAACAAGATGATAAAGTCGAGGTCCTCGCTTTTTTCGTTCTAAAATTCGTTTAAATTCAAGTTAAAACTGGAATGATTTTAACAAGCTGTTACTGTTGCATTTCGAAAAGGTCTATATCCATTATTATTATCATTTAAGAAATTTAACCAATTTTAAGCTGTCGCTCTTTCTCTCTTTCTCTCTCTGTCTCTCTGTCTCTCTCTTTGCTTGTTTGTTTGCTTGTCATGGAATGATGAGTGGACACTCTTTATTTGATAGAGTGATTTGATTATAAGTGATTAATAGCATTTCTTATTGTGCGGTGTTTGGTGACTTGGCTGCCAATTTTGCTTGAGTATTACTCAACAAGCGATGTATTAAACTGCCAAACTTTAGTCTTTTGTTTTCATACTCGTCTAGTAAGGCAATAATGAGGATATATTATAAAATAGAACCCATATTCCCACTTACCATAATGTTGCTTATCTTGCATAACATACATAGAGAATATGTTGCATAACTCTGAAAGCACAGTTGTATCATTTTCACGATGAATCCTTGGCCAAATAAAATTATAAAAATGACTTATTAATGTTTCTAAATATTGGCTGATATGATAGTTAATAAGCGCCTTACTTTTTATACTATAAACTTACTATAGCTGGTTATCATAAGATGGCTGAAATAAACTATAAAATAACACAAGTTCATCAGAGCATAGGTTCATCATATAAGCACAACCATTCTTTGCAAGTTGAAGTAAATCCATATCTGATGATTCATGCAGTTTGCGTGTTATGATAGGTACAATTAGTTGCTGTCGTGTTTGAGCATAGGTGTAAAGGATATCGTCATAGAGAGATTGATAGTCCTGAGCCCGCTTTTCAATCTGGCTTGTCAGCGATTTGACGGTGGGTGCGATCACTCTGAATCTCACATAGCATGTTGTCGTCTGTTTGCCTATGGTAATAGATGCATCCTATGATGCATAAAAGGTAAGAAGTCTATTTTTAAATCATCTCTATTATTAAACCTTGTTCTGTTTGGAAATCTCTTGACCTAAGCTTTTTATGGTTGAAACAACATACATTTTGATAAGCGTCATTGCTTTTGTCATGTACTGTTTAAATCGCATAAAATACAATTCGGCATCCTTGTATTGAGGCTAATAAAAATGGTAAGAACAGAATATTCAATATGGAAAAAAAGATACTTACATGCTGGTTCATGTATTCAATACACTCATCAAGCTTGCTGAGAGCGGGTATAAATTCAGGATCTAAGCAAACGTTCTCTCCAGGCGCATTCAGTAACTTTGCTACCACCTCAAGGTGATTAAAGTAGTCCAATCGCTGAGATAATTCGTCTGCGATATGCGTTAACCTCTCTTGGTCCTTGAGAATTGATTCACATGCTGCCTGCACTGTACTTGTCTTTTCTGATACAAACGCATAGTCTTTTTCGAGTACTTCTAATGCTAGACGAGTCTGCTGAAGATGATCAAGAAGTATGATGCATGCTTGTCGGTAATGTTGAACTTTTTGAAGATGATCACGATAGACATCCTCTTGATCCATTTCACTTTCAATATTGGCAAACCAATCAAAAAAGGACTGCAATGTGTCAATACCATCTGTTGTTGCTTTGGCTGATGCGAGTAAGTCTGCGGTTGAAGGAGTCTTTTTGATCAATGGTGGAGTAGTTGCAGCAGAAACCTTTTCAAAATACTTTTTAAGCAAAGTAAGTATATCTGTATTACTGTTCTATTACTGTTGTTTACCCAAGACGAAGGAAGAGGTAAGTCTAAACAAGCTTCTTGAATATCATGTACAGCCTGTTTCTGTACTTCTGTCAGCTTTGTCTTTTCTTCCCATTCTTCCAAAGAAATCATAATAAACCAAGCCTGGACTTTGTTCTGCGCTCTATTATTGTCAAATTTGAATTACCGTTTCATTTAAAAATATCGTGCATGGATGTACAAATTGCATTATAAATTTTGTAAATATGCGACAATGGCTTATTTCGAATGCACCATTTGCATATGTACAGTAGTTTTGACAACAAGAAGAGAGAGAAGGGAGAATATCATTGGATAAAGTATTAAGAATATGTCTAATCCTTTGTTTCTTATAACCAAGGCAAAACTTTGGTTTTAAATTACCTTAAAAAATCCCTTTTATTGTCCTTTTTTTAGCATTCAAAAAAGCGCATTCTGGTTATATTTGAAATCAATAATGTTATAAATGAAGGGCATTCTTTTCGCAGTATGAACATACTATTTCTTCCAATTCGACATGTATTACCCAGTTTTCTTCTTATCTGCCCTTGTAGCTTATGCTACTGCTTCTGTAGCAAATGTTGGTAACATCGTTGCTCATGAGCTTGACAGTAGAGCAGAAATGGGAGAAGCCCTGATGCTCTATGGTTATAACCCTCCTCGTGTAAACCCCGACTACTGCGTTGGTTTTCAGATTGACTATCCTACTGCTCCTGGTCAAGTCTTCGAAGTCAATTCCCTTCAACAACTTCACTGGTCGATTGATCAAGACATTAAAGGATTTAAACCTGATGCTATTACCCGTATTCGTATCCTCAACTCTACTCAACACAACCAATATGTTATCGGAGAAAATATCCGTAAGTATTTAGTAAAGGTCAAGAGCAGACTTTAACTCTTTTATTTGTAGCTTTGATCGTCCAAGACAACAGAGGATCTGCAAGCTTCCCTCTTGCCGTCAAGGATGTCACTGGATACTATCATTACCGTATCATGGTTAACTATCCTGGCACACCCACTCACTGCGTTTATGAATCTGTTCCCTTTATGATCGTCCAAAGTCCTTTCAAGAAATATAAGGCAGCTGGCCCCATTCAACCGGACAGCGAAAAGGGTCAACTTTATCAAACTTTGCCTGTTGGACTTTATGTTCAACATGACTAGTGTCCTTTTTTTTGTTTTGAAACAAATAAACTTTCTTACTCTCTTTTTCTTTTTTAGATAACATAAAACTAACCTAAGAACGTTGGGCATTTGAAGTTTAAAATAGACAGTTGTCCAAAGCTTTCTAGATAAATGTAAACAGTAAAAATTACTCAGTCGTCTCACTCTTGTCTAGTCATTTTATGAGCCACCCAGTCGAATGGGGATACAAAAAAAATACTATGGTATTATAAGCTGCTTATCCGAATATTTTAAGGTGATGTAGTAAGGATTTATAAGTATAATTGCTGAGAGAAATGTATGGAACAGCATAGAGAAAAGATCGAACAGAGTCGCGTTTCTTCAACAGAAGAAATGTAATTTAAAGAGAAATCAAAAAGATATCTAGCAATCAAACAATCTCCTTTGAAGACGCTGCAAAAATTCTAGAATAAGAAGAATTGATCTGAAGAATAGATACCTGCTTGGTTTGCTCTGATCACATATGTCAGGCGCCACTGTCGCCTGCTGAATATACTTTCCCTTTTAAAGCATTTTTACTAATTGATTATGATAAATAAATCTTCAGAGTCTTAGCAGTGAGATCAATAAACATATTCAATAAATCATTTTTTATAAAATTAAATATTGACCTATCAAAGTTCTCTCAAACGTCAAAAATACATCTTATTCTTACATGACGCGACATGCTCAATTCTCATTGGCTACAATTAATTCATGCTTTCTTATAAAGAGACGCTGTTTGCTGGGCTAAGATCCACTATCATTGAAAAACTAAACTTTGCAGGCCAGTACTCTGATTTCGCTTGCAATTTCTCCTTTGTAGTTCAGTTGGCCATGACAACATCTGCAATGTCTGACGGTAATTCGGCGGAAATGAATACAATTATACCAACTGAATTTCAATGATTCCACACCAGTTGTATTACTTGCACCAATTAGAAATCCAAGCAATAATGATGCTGATTACAAGGCTCTTTTCTCTGTCAACCACTTGCAAGTCATCAGCACTTTGAATTTTGGTGCTGTGGGAATCCAACAGCAGACCAGAAACAATCATCCACTTTGGGTTAATGTACAAGAGCTTGGAAGTGGTAACCAATGGCCCGATGTATCTTCAATTACCTGTCTCAGCTGTTCTCAGGGATAAATCTCCAGCACCTCTAAGCCGATTCTTAGCACAATTTCGTCTTGCGTCGGTCTGTATTTACGAAAAACAGCACTAAACTTCTTCGAGCACGGCAAAACAATGAATTCCACCTACATCCCATTCTCGCTCGAAAGTTCCTTCAACTGGTGCGTACTAACTCTCCTTTTGGCAGCTTTTTAATGCGCTCTTCTTTAGGAATCAAGTCCGTATTAACATCAATGGTCATTTTACGACACTTATAGTACAAGAAAGAGGATTCAGACAAGGAATCCTTTGTCGTTAGTTCTATTTAATTTGGCCCTGGGACCACTGCCATTACACACCATTTACGATATTGCTATCACCGACTTACCCCAGTTGTCCTGAGGCAGTTGATCCACGATTTGCCCTGGTTACACATCCAAGTTTTAAAATTCTTGCGTATACCGATGATGTGTGTGCATTTCTTAACTGTATTAGAGATTTCCACAGAGTTCAACGCCATTAGAGAATTATAGTCACATCTCCAATGCTCGTCTTCATATCAATAAGGCAGAGATACTTTTCTTAAATGATCGTTCTCAGCCAGAACGGACTTATTTCTTACAACAGCATCAAATTACTAAATGGCAAGACAACCTATCACCAGAGTCCCTGAGGCACTTGAGCTTCCCTTTGGTTCAATCGATTGTTCAACTCCGATACTTAAAAGACCATCTACTCCAGATAGTACGTTCTCAATGTGCAACTTATTCTCAGCACCTCTCACCGTGACGTATGGCTCTATAATAAAATGTTTTGTTTTCCTACAAAAAAAAAAAGGAGGTCACTTTGGACACCCCCATTTCAACGTCATATCTGCATTAAGTACCAACAGCGAAAGATGTTTTTCTACTCTTGTTATTGTTAGACTCTTTTGCTAGATGGTTTGTCATATCGATGCCAGAACTGTTCAAGGCTAGAATCAGCCTTCTTTCAAAGACAGTAGAATGCTAGACTAAAAAGGTTTGAACGAACGCATTTTAAATTTAGACCACCTTTCTGACCGTGACATCTTCAAGTGACCTGTTGCATTACTTTTTTAAAAATAAATTCATGGCCCGTTTGAAACCTATGCCCCTTTTTTGAGTACAAGTTTTTCTTGGACTTTTTTTCATAAGAAATGAATTTTAAAGATTTACAATACTCGATTGGCAAATTTAAAACAGATGTTCAGTCTCAAATAGCCAAGAGCAATCCTATGCAGAAACAAGATACCAAGAGTTTGTCCATGTGGATATTTCACGAACGAAACGACTTGGCCTCTATGCGAACTTTATCCTATCAACGAGCAGAAACAAACAGGGCAATCCAGCAATGGGTTAAGGATGAGATAGCAGAGAATAACTGTGAGGATATAGAGGTAAAACATGTTTTGCCCTGATACTGTTTGACTTTAACTTTATGTGGCAGGATATTGTTGGTAATAAACTTGTTCAACTTTTAGAAAAACAAGTGGAACTTGAGCAGGAATATGCAGGTAAGCAAGATACACACAGACGCACTGTATTTAAATAAACTTAAACATTCATATGCAGCCAAATATCAACAATACCGCCAAGCGATCAAATCAATCCGAGAACGAGAAGAAAAATTATCAGATGTACGGGAAAAGAAACGCTCGCTCCAGTCACGCATTGCGAATCTAACAAAGAGCAACCCCAAGTCACCAAAGCTAGCTGAATTTCAAAAAGAGTTGAAATCATTTGAACATGATACATTAGAGAGCGAGCTTGATTTAGCAAAGTTCAAACGATTTGCATTAAAAGAAGCATTCTATTTGAGATTCAATGCCATGTATGCATTTGCTGAAAAAACGGCGATTGTGGCAGGATTTGCTAAATACCTGGTTGATCTGATCGAGATTGATCAATCCAAATATGATCAAGGACCGCAAGCAGCCGTGATCATAGCCGATGCATTGAATGCGCTCGAAAACTGGGCTCCTGCAGCTGAAGACGAGAGAGTGACAGCGTTAGATAATAGACAAAAAGGAAAAAAGCCATCAGTAGATGTGCCACACACGCCTGCGAGTAGTTCAGATATTGAGCTCGTAAACACACCGCCCTCGGCTCCTCCCGTGCCTGAAATGCCTCATTCACCAGAGCCTGAAGCAGCTGAACCACCTGCTCTGCCACCACGTACAACGCCCACAGGCTATTCGCCACAAGAGGTTCAGCAAGTGACGAGCGACGTAAAAACTCAGCATGAAAATGAAATTGACTTGGAACGCATCGATCTTTATGATGCACCACCACCCGCCTATGAACCACCTCAGTCTTCTCCGTTGAACGCCGATCGTCCTGGATCATTTTACTCGCCTTACCAGCTTCATACTACTGTGCCACAGACAGCAGCCTACTCTCCTTCTCCTTCTTCGTCTAAGCCATCGCCGTATCCCCATCATCAGCCTTCACCATACCAGGGCCATGCATCACCTTATTACGGTACACCGTTACAAGCACATGCGTCACCTCGCCCTTCCCATGTACAAGCTCAAGCTTCATTTACAGCTGAATCACCTTATGCACTAGATTACCACCAGTTGTATCGACAGGCAAGCTTTCACCACCAACAACATCAGCCTCACTACAGGCCCTATGAAGAATTTCAGCAGCGATTCGTAATGGACGCAGGTGGCTTTAGAGTTCCACCCCCGCTGACTGCCGAGGAAGAAAAGAATCGACTGGCTCAACATTACGAGAGACAAGACAAAGTAATGGATGAGGGTGCTTTTATGGGATCCAATAAAGAATCTGTTGAAGAAGAAGAAAATAAAGAGAAATAAAAAAAATAACTTTTTATTTAATAGTGTATGCTTTTTGATTTGTTTTGTGGCTTTTTTATGAGAATGTATAATACAATGAAGGAAAGTGGGGTATATGTATGTGTTTTTGATGATATTTAATGAAGATTAACAACGACGTGCATCCATTCATGATGTTTTGTAGCGAAATGTAGATTAATCCACTTGTGTACAAATGCTCCGTGAATTCGAACCAGCAAACGTTCAGAGCACATGGGACAAGCACGATAACAGTACTTGCTTTCGAGCACAGGCTTATCGAGCAGATCGAGCATACAATAAAACTGAGGGGAATAAAGAAGAAGAAAAAGTAGTGTATTTATACATGTTTGATGGGAAACTACGAACCTGTGATCGTTTGTGTTAGGTATTGCACTTTATATAAATAAAATGCGCTCTTTTTTTTTCGTAATGTATGCGGGTACCCTTGAAATAAACAAAGACCTCGGACCTTGTGTATTCATCATCTGATAAATAATAGCGTGTAACGAGAGCACTGACCTTTGTCATTCATAATTTTGTAGCATGATTCTTTAGCCCCATGATATTTAGCCAAAGTCGGTACTCTGAGCAGCCCTCCTTTATTATATTGCAAACATCAAAAATAAATGATGTAATAAAAAAAAAAACATGCTTTATTTACAATGATTATTATTTATCGGTGCTGTTGTTCAGAATGCTTGTGTTGTTCTCTTTGACGGCGAGCGTCATCCTTTCTCTCCAAGATTTCTTTATCTTCAGCTGCCAACTCTTGGTCAATACGGTTATCTCTTGATTGAGTATTGGTAACACCATGTTTATGCTGTTCTTTATGCGCAGTTTCTAGTTCACCAAAGGTATCATACCTTTTATCATGGCCAACATGGGCTCTTTCATAAGGACGACCGCTCATTAAGGCAGCTTCAGCATGAGAGATTTGAGGTTTGCGATGTTGTTCAGTCATTGTTTTGTAGAATAAAAAGACGTAAAAAAAAAAAAAAGATAAACGTGAGGAGTTTATTTATATTCTCTTTAATCGCAATATGCACACATCATGATTATATCATGTTTTGAAATTCATGAAATAGTAGCTCTTTATATCAATTCTGAGTTTCATGCAATGCTTTATAGAAATTCAATCTTGACGTTTCAGGATTACCTATTTCCACTAACTTTTCAAACCTTGGTAACAAAAAGTCTAATTTTGCCTCCTGACTTCTATCAACCAAAACAATACAACAGACACACAAGTGTCTTCACTAATGATTTGAATATCTCCTATAATGTCTTTTTATATACCCATGAAAATCAAGAGCTCTTTTGTTCAAAATGACTAAACCAAGACAGAACCCTCACACACTGTTTTCCTGTTATACTAAGATTATCACCACGAGATTCATCCCACACTCTCGCACTTCCTCTTTCTTACAGACAACATCTATAGAGAATGATATAGTTTTTATATCCTTTCAGAAATCTCCGACTCTTCAACCAGATTCATTTGGTAATCAATCAAGAAACATCCAATCTCTTTTGAATATAATGCATTATCTTATTCAAGAGCTTGTAACCATTATCTACATATTAAAGCTAATAATTAAAAAAACTAATACGAACACGAGAATCAACCTATCTGTACTAGCAAACTCCTGCTGAGTTCATCCTAATTTCATCACCTTGGCGTAACTCTGACCAAATACGCCGACTTGAAGACAATCCAATGCAGATAGGCTATTGTAATTACCCCTCTGAGAATCAAAGTTTTCAGTAAATCCATCTTTTTACAAATGTTCGAGCACATTTTAGATAATTTTGCTCACGACACAATTGGATCGCGTAAACACGCAAGAATGATACTTATATTATGATACTATTCAGTCCAACAGTACACTGTCCAATTACATTCCAGTTGTAGAGTCTAAGTAAATAAACCGAGAAAACCGATAGTACGGATGGTATGGATGTGTAATGAGTTGTATTGCTCAGCGGAGGAAGGAGGAGAGGTATAGGACCGGGCAGGGACTAAGATGCTGGATAGTACAACTATTGGAAGGACAAAAGAGGGTGGTGGTTAGGGGCTTGCAAAATGATTTAGAGGAGATAGAGCTTACAGAGATAAGAACGAGGCAAGAAGCAGATAAGAGAGAATGAGAATAGACTGGGAAGGTCTAAGGACAGAAGCTATACTGTGATAATTGACTAGAGCTTTATTAGATAAAGATAAATGGGTATTTATACGAAAGTTAGGAATGTAATATATTAAAAGAATTAACTAGTATTGTTGAGTTCTTAATTAAGGGATGCTCAGGACGTCAATGTTATACATGAGTTCATATTTAATCGTGACAGGATGGTAAGGATGGTACGGACTGTATGCACCTCAGTGTGTTTTATTGCTTTTCTTAGACTTTTGATATTGAACTATTATACTTTTGCCACTACCATAAGATGCCAACTTTCCCTGCACAGCACTTTCTTGCCAGCAGGCACTTTAATTCATTTTACCAATTTTCTTTTTCATGTAGCCTATGACAAACTTGATTGCCTCACTACTGGGATTCATAAGTGTTTTCTCTTATGTTTCTCTTGCTAGAGCTAGCTATCGGAAGTGATTACTTCATAGGCCTTACACCTTCGTATTTTTTTTTTTTATATATTGCTCAGCATCGATCCTTGGCATGTTCTTTTGAGATGTTCTATGTACTTCAGGCCATTTTCAACATAACGTAGTATTTGTGATATTGTTGAGCAAATATTTTCAACTCGGAGACATAAGAATACAACTAGATGAAATGATTTAGGTTGTCTTAGCCATCGCCTTGATTGTGATTCACGATGGACACAAAATAAGTCGTAATTCTAACACTTAGCAGATCATACAAAATTATCAAGGTGATGCGCCTGCTAGAAACACCCGTCGTTGGCTAAATATCCTTGAATATTATTAACTTGATTTCCGAATATCTTTTATGTGTCCCCTGTCCTGTTTTTATATTTGAAAAGCGAATGTTTCAGAATAGAGAGAAAGAGATTTTATCCTTCTTTTCTTTATTGAATAACGCAAGCCTACAAAGATGTACGGATCAATGAATAAAGTGGATGAAATGACGCCATAGAGTGGCTGACATATAAGACATTTATGCTTCTACAAAGCTATCATACAAAAAGTTATTTTTCAAAGATAACAAACAAATGAATACTAAAACATACTTTTTTGAATGTCGTTACCTGACTGTAAAACGGTTTTCCGATAGAAATGCTATGCGTCTAACCTGACTGAATGTTTTTAAACGAAAAAAACAATCTCACCTAGATGCTCTCTCAGTAAACTTGAAACGGGGCAATGACGTCTGAGATGTTTTCTCTGTATTTACTTGACTTGGCTTATTTGTTTGTTTGCCCCCTTTTTTTTCCAATTTGAAAGCAGTGTTATCGATTTTGGACATATGGTTACTTTAGCCTGCTTTTTTATGCGATTCAAAACATGCTGGCTTTTTGACGATCAAAAAAGATAATAGAGAATATAAAGAAATAATTTATTACTGTCTTTTATCGTTGTCTTTATCGTTCCGAATCCACGATGGTATAAAAGATGCCCATTTATCACTCTGAGGCACTTTTGACCAGACTGAAGAAAGGAAGGACTCTTGCTCTTTTTGAATAGGATGGCTCGTTTTACTTAACAACGAGGCAACCATGGAAGTTGATGTATGTTGTATATTGTCAATTGTATGTCCATGTTGATCAAAGAAGGGTTGTATAGTTTGATAATAGAATACATCGCTGCCCTGTGTTTGGGGTAGTATGAGCCATACCACGAAAATAAGTTTCAAATGAACATAAAGGGGTAACCTAAAAACTAGGTGAATAAACATAATTTTTGCATCATCACTTACCAACTCAAAAAGAGGTCAGTAAAAGATTCAATAGCTAAAAAGGATAAGCAGGATACCCAAAAGATCAAGAGTGAGTGAAACTGTTGCTCCTGATTGGATTTAATAGCCTTATATGTAGCATAACAAGGATGAAACTGTAGATAATGTAACCTTACGATAAAATATATCAAACGGAAAACCATATAAAAATATAAAAAAAGCAGAAAGTTTCCAAATGTACAAAAGGTGTCATGTGACATGTCTTTATTTATTTACAAACATAAAAAATATTTAATTTTCATGCAAATTGAGATTCATCAAAGTACTTTTCAATATTGGAAGGTTGATGGATATGTGTCGATTTATAGAGCAAAGTATTGAAAACCCTATCAACTGACTCATGTTTATTTGCTGATTTAAGCCCCGTTTTAACGCAAGTTAATCTTGGTACATTAGTAGTAATCATTGATGTTTTATTTACAAGTTCTGGTTGAACTTGTTTCATCGCTTTAAGTAGCATAGGTTCAAGATTTATCATTTTAGAGAAAATAGAGAATTAGGCTAAGGAAAAAAAAGAATTCAAAGAAACGCCCCTCCCTTTTTATTATTTCGTTTCATTCATGCAGCCTAAAAAAAAGCAATGCAGGTCAATGTGTCACGTGGCTCATCATCACTTGAATTGCATCCAATGTACCAAACGCACCGCAAAAGATGCCCATGCTCACTGTCAATAGACACATCATCCAGTCATACCATTGTAGCTGAGGCTTCAGTTTGATATAAAATAAGATGGGAAGAACAAAAGTCAAGATATCAGTCACCAATGTACCGACCAAGTTCATGAGATCAGAGAATCGAAATGGCACTAATATGGCAACTAGGCCGCAACCAACCATTTCTGCCGCTCGCATCATCAGCCTTTTCCATTTTTGTCGTCGCTGTCCTTCAAAGGGTAAGGTGAAGACATAAAGATAAAAGGGGACTGTTAATAGGGCATGCAAAGTCATGACGAGCATGGCAACGTGCTGAGCTGCATTACTAGGCAAACTGGCGTAGATGGGTGATTCTACTTGATCACCGTAGACCCAATAGCCAATACAGCCTATTGTAAAGTAAAATAGGCTGATTGTACATGTTGAGACCAAAAGAACCTGAGGCCAGCGCTTTGGCATCCGCATAGACTGTTCCAAGTGAGGGTAGATGACATGGCCGCAATACGAAAAACTAAAGGTACTGAAGGTCATTGGCAGATTCTGCGGCACGACCACCGCATGGTTCGTACCGGGTGCTTTCTTCATATCACTTATAATACAAACGATCAGTATAAAACAGACGGTAGCCATTGACGCAGCAAAGCTATAGAAAAGCACATATTAGTTTATATGTCACTGTTGGTATCTGTGTCTATCACAGCTTTTCATAAGCACTTTAGTTTGAGTAGGTTGCCTGAGATATGAAACATCCTTCATGTGCCGAACACAAAAGAAAGGAATACCAACCAAGATACAAAGCATCCAGACACATGTCCTACGATGAAACCAGACGAGCTCGTAATCCATCAGGATTTGTGACAGGTTTTCACTCGCCATCATAATGTAAATGGTGGGTGTAAGAAAGAGCATGAGCTGAGAAAAGAGGAAACCGATGATACTACCTGGCTTACCAAAGGCAGCGTATCCGATATCTGCATAACCTGTAAGTCTTTTGCCACTACAAAGTTGTAAATAAAAAGAAAAAAAATCAAATAACGAGTTACTTACGGTATGGCATAAAGACATCGGATGAGTAGGACGCCAGTGTAATGAGACATGACAGCGCTGGTAAATAAAAAGAGCAGCCCAATCCATCCTGATCGACTTAAAGCATGAGCAATGGCTAGAATACCTGTACCAGCGACGACACATCTATAGAATACATAAGATAACATCTTTATTAAAAGAGACATTCGATAAATTACATGATACTAAACAGTGTTGATGTGTTCGATACATGACCTTTTTCATTTAGATCGTCCTTGTCCTTTTTATCAGCACCATCTTCAAGCTCTTCCGCTATACTCTCTTTCTCTTCTCTAGTCTCGAAATTGACACTAGCCGAGCACATGTAAAGAGAAGCAGGTGCCGATTTAGACATTGCGTATAAACTTGGCCAGAAATGAATAATAGTAACAAAAGCGCTCGTACTTATATATCCAAAGCGGCAAACTAAGCGGCAATTTTCTTATCATAAGTATGCTATCTTTGTGCTGCGATAACGAGTATCATATAGATTTATAACGCCTGTTATCGCTTCAAGGGCCTTTAATACCAGATTTTAATATGATATAACAAAACACTCGCTCAAGTTTACTTTGTTACATTCTATTATATTTAAAAAATTAGTTAGTTGTATAGCTTCACTTTTAATTTAAGCGAGAGTATCCCCTCTCTCTCTCTTTTACCACATAAGTGGATTAATGTATATACTTTTCAGAGAGAAAAAGTATCTGGCTACAATAGTGTAGCATATTTTTATAAAGCTTCTTTTATTATTCAAGGAACTCTTAAATTATCTTTTGTACAATTGGTAAAGAGGAAGCGTCTATGTTGAACTAAATAAAGCGTTAAAAATATTAAAACAAGAACGGCATTTTGTATTATAAAGTAATATAATGATAACTTCAGGGAGAGAGGTACTTCTGACATTAATTAGTAGGACCAGTCCTTACTTATATATGGCCTGGGACTAAGGCGATCATATTTACCCAGCAATTTTGTAAAAGATCACGCGTTGTTGAATGTATTTAAAACTTTTACGAGACATCTCTTCAAAGAGCATTAATAAAAAAACAGCTGGAAATAACACCATACAATTCGGCAATAGAAGCACTATGTGTTGATATTACCGAATACTAAACCACATCCAAAATCACACAAGTGTAAGATGTGCATAATCTATCATGATAATGTCGATCTCGTTATCCCACCGCACGCTTTTTTATTATCATAATTTATTTCAGTTTCCTTTGCTTAATTCTTTTTCTTGGACTTTTTATCAGTAGAGCCATTAGACTTTTCAGACTTGTGAGCATGTTTTTCCTTCTTATTCTTCTTGGTCTTCTTTTCTGGTTGTTCTTCAACAGGACTTTCCTTACGCTTTGCCGTAACATTCTCCTCTGCGTTAGACAAGGTAGTCTTGTAAGAAGCGTTTTCCTTTTCGAAACGCTGCTTTTCCTTTTCAGCTTGCATTATAAAAGGCTATATAGACATAGATTAATACTCACAGTCGCAAATACGCGTATGCTTTGAACATTATACTTGCCATCTTTTCCTTTTCTGATAGTTTGTTCCACATCTCACCTACAAGTTTAGCTATTTCAATAGCCTTCATATTAGGATGTTCAGCAGCGACCTTGGGGCGTACAGCTTGGGTATAGAGCATATAGCTAGACAAGTTACGCTTAGGGGCGTTAGGATCCTTTTCGGCCTTCTTTTTGACTGTCTTGGTATCAGCAGCTGGAGAAGCGGTGGCACCAAATAGGAGATCAGCAAAGTGATGAAGACTACCAGTTAATTGGTCAATAGCTTTGTGAAGCTGATGAACAGAAACTTTGTTTAGTTTAGTTTATTTTATAAACAACTACATTTACCTCTTGAGCCTTTTCTGCGTGGTTATTATTTTCAGTTGGCATAAGTTCTAATAAAAGAAAAAAGAGGGGGAGAAAAAATATAAAAAAGAAAGAAGAGCAGAAAGAGAAAGCGACCTGCCTGCGTGCTTTTCCCTTTCTCTGTGTGGCTCCTGCAATAATTTTTAAACCAAAAAAAAAAATTTCTAGCCGGCCACTGGCGGCCCCGGGCTACTGTTAGTTCGCCCTTGAGAAAAAAAAATTGTCAAAGCGATTTATTTAATTCCTGTAATTGATCTGCAGTGACCCGAAGATCGTAGCTGAGTAAACTTAAGAAACTTCGTTCCATGCTGTTTATCTCTCGTACACTGTATTGTCGCTGAATCATTTCACAAACACGTATACTTGTCAATGAATTGAGATCAGAGAGATATTTAGAACTGGTGAGGACGGAAGCAAGAAATAATCGATAGGGTGTATCGTAAGCACCCTTGGCTGTGGAAGGTAATTTAGTCTTGAGTCGCGTCAGATAAAGAAGGGTGATCAATAAGATGGGTATAGGTAACTTGGATTTCTCTATAAAGTTATTGACAAACTCATTTAAAGGAGGTAAAATTCTTTGTTGATCTTTGCAGTTTGAACACGGTAATAATGTATCCACAGTGACTGTAATGTATGCTAAAGACATTACCATAAGCATCTTTTTTATATACACTTTTTTTTTTTACCAAGCACAGAGTCTCTTTTTATCTTATTTGGGTTGCCTTGGTTACTAATTGACATAAAGATAAAGAAAGAAAGGAAAAAGAAAGAGAGAATAACATTTACGTTTCATTATCACTTTAAAGCAGAAATAAGGGGTAAAAACAGCCAAAGTCAAGCAGAGAGAAGGTTGAGTAAGGATGAGGATTGCTTTATTTAGTAAAAAATGATTGATATACCAATCAAAGCCCTTATCTGGTTATCAATAAAACATGTGATAATAACATTAGTTAGTAATAGTAGTAGTATCGACAGTGGTAGTGGTAGTATCGGTAGCAGTAGTAGGTGCAGTGGTAGTATGAGTAGTATCGGTAGCAGTAGTAGGTGCAGTGGTAGTATGAGTAGTATCGGTAGCAGTAGTAGGTGCAGTGGTAGTATGAGTAGTATCGACTGTAGTAGTAGGTGCAGTAGGTGTGGTATCAGTATTAGTAGTATCTGTAGTAGTAGGTGCAGTAGGTGTATTAGGCGAAATAGGTTCATCAATTTCAACAGTTGCAATAGCTGGTTCAGGTACTTCGGGAGATTCAGCCAAGACTTCAACTACCTCAGCTTCCTTCTTCTTTGGTTTCTCTTGTTCATTAACACCTCTCTCTGTTGATGCCTTCTTGGGTGCTAAAGAACGATAAACTTCAGGTAAATTTTCTTCAGGAATAAACTTGGTCAAAGAAGAGTAAAGCTCATCACTAGGACCATAAACAATGAATTTATCATATTGATGATTGAGCTGTCTTTACTTACTTTGAACAAACAACAAACTTCTTGACAGTTGCTTCAGATAACAAGGGGCGGATCAACTTGAAGATGGTACTACATTAATATATTAAATATGCAATCATCAAATTTATTTTTGTTTATTATTTACCTTCCCCACCAAGGAACATTAACAAAGAATTTAACAGCCTAACATAATAACAGCAATAACAACAATTAACTCTACGCCTACATATACATTGTTTATACTTACCAAAACCTCGGGGTAATTGTCTTGCATAATTTTGATAATTTCTTTGGTTGCAGCCTTCGCGTTGGCTGTCCTACCAAACATCGAAGCTCCTTTATAATCATGAACGACGATCATTGAATCCACATGAATAAAATCAATATGCTGAACACACTTCTCCATCAACTGAACTCTCCAACGAATAAATCTAAATAGAGCAGGTTATTCAAAAGTCAGTTCAATACACTATCTGATTTTACTTGTCGGGGTCAGCAAATACTTTGCTTTGATCAATGTCTCCATAGAAATTATAGCACACGGGTCGATTTTCCTTATCTGTCTTGTACAAGTAACCAACAGAAGAAAAAAGGGAATCATCAAAACTTTCGTCTAAAAGATCATCTGCTTTAAAGCTTTTACGCCAAATCAATGTATCTGTCAACATCTTGGTAGCTTTGACCAAATCCATATCGCTACATAATATGAATAACTAATTCTCAATTCATTGTTTATACTCTTACCGAGCTCTCAAAAATTTGACTAAAAGAACATTCAGACGATCATCCGTTGAATCCTTGTCAAGAGGAACTGTCCATAAGGCATAGTTTTCAGGTACTTGAGCGTTCTTTAAAATATCAGGTAAATTAGACTTTAACTTGGTGACGGCTTCTTTTTCGGCAGAAGTCAATGGTTGCATGATGATTAATTTCTTACAAATAAAACAAGTAACAAGAGAAAAGAGAAAAAGAAAAAAAAGAACTCCTCTCCTTTTAGAATACCGCAGAAGGAATCAAAAGTTCTCCGTATCGCCGATTGAACTTTGAAGAGAATCGCGTCAAAAAAATTTTACAGTTTTTGACGCGTTCGTCAGTCACGAAAAAGTATTTAAATGCTTTATTTACGCAGCCAATTTTTTTTTTCTTTTTTTATAAAATATTTCCCCTTCTTCTTTTTATATAAACATGTCTATTGAAGCTACTACACAAAAGATTCAAGCATTGTCTTTAGACAAGAAAACCGAAAGACATCCTGATGATCAACAAGAAGAAATCCTTCGTGAAAACACGAGACGATTCTGTTTGTTTCCCATTAAATATCACGAGGTAAGGCGCCCAAAGACATATAGTATGTGTACCATTTCTTACTTATTGTATTCAGATCTGGCAATTCTATAAAAAAGCTGAAGCTTCCTTTTGGACAGCTGAAGAAATCGATTTGAGCAAGGATCTTCATGATTGGGAAAACAAAATGACCGAAAATGAACGTTTCTTTATCTCTCGTGTCTTGGCCTTCTTTGCTGGTTCAGATGGCATTGTTAATGAAAACTTGGTTCAAAACTTTTGTGATGAAGTCAAGATTCCTGAAGCTAAATGTTTCTATGGCTTTCAAATCATGATTGAAAACATTCACGCAGAAACTTACAGTCTTTTGATTGACACTTATATCAAAGATAACCAAGAGAAAGAAATGCTCTTTTCTGCTATTGACACTATCCCTTGTATCAAGAGAAAGGCTGATTGGGCCTTCAAGTGGATTTCCTCAAACGGTTCCTTTGCTGAGCGCCTTGTTGCCTTTGCTGCTGTCGAAGGTATCTTCTTCTCTGGTTCCTTTGCTTCCATCTTTTGGCTCAAGAAACGTGGTTTGATGCCCGGTTTGACATTCAGCAATGAATTGATCTGTCGTGATGAAGGTCTTCATACTGACTTTGCTTGTCTTTTATTTACCCACCTTCGTAAGCGTCCTAGCCAAGAACGCGTCAAGGATATCATCTTGGAAGCTGTCAGCATTGAACAAGAATTTTTGACGGATGCTCTTCCCGTTGCTCTCATTGGCATGAATTCTGCCTTGATGTGTCAATACATTGAATTCGTTGCTGATCGTCTCATGGTTGCTCTTGGGTTCGACAAGATTTACATGGCTACTAATCCATTTGACTTTATGGACATGATCTCTCTCCAAGGCAAGACCAACTTCTTTGAAAAGCGTGTCTCCGATTATCAACGTGCTGGTGTCATGAACAAGCAGCCTGCTGAAAAGACCTTTACCTTAGACGCTGATTTCTAGAATCTTTGATTTCTATACTGCAATCACTACCCACTATTACTACTACTATTCTAGTACTACAATTATCCTTTTCTTCATACATCCACCAAAAACTACACATTGTATATATCACATATTATCATCACCCTTACATTATAAAATAAAAAAAAGTATGAACTTAAGATTTATTATTAGTTTCTTTTAAATATTCCTCATGAAGTTTCTTTTGCATTTCATATTCCTTGACTAACTTCTTTCTTCGACTCTTGGCCACTTCTTGACCATCTTTGGTATGTGTAGGAATACCTTGCTCATCAAACTGTGAAAATTCATCAGACTGCTTGAACATGTCCTGAGGAGCAACTTTGCCCTTTTCTAATCGTTCTAAACGTTTACGCTCACGTTCAGCAGCAGCAGCGGCCTTCTTGGCTTCCTTTTCAGCGGCAATTGCCAATTTTCTTTCACGCTGCTTTATGAGTTCTTCACGAGGAACAAGCTTTACCAGCGCGGTACCGTCTACCGAAAACAATGAATAACCGCAATCTATCTGATCAAGATATCATCTTTTCTTTACCTTCCTTATCGTCCAAAGAAACACCAAGATCCACTAATTGGTTATCACGAAGTGAATCACACAATTTCAAGAACTCGGTATGCTCAACCTTTTGGCGAGCTCCTTGACGGACTTGATCTCTAAAAGTGGAAAGGGCATGCAGGTAAGGCATCAATAATTCTTCGGCCTAAGTATTAGATATCAGATATGTGTGATTGCATGATTTTTTGTTTTTCTTTTTTTTAAAAAAAAAAACTTACGTTCTGGTTTGCAGTGCCAGAAACGGCGCCTAATCCGATATCAACACCTTGATCCACAACACCAAAGACCTTAAACATGGATGTAATCCATTTAGCAATCTTGCTGAGCAAGTGTGTATTGACAGCCTTGGCGCCACCAGACATGTACTTATTTGTCTGATTGATCATGTCCATAATTTCGTCCATGGCCACGGGGGTATTGATAGAATCACAAAGTGCGGCGTGTACAGCCTCCTGTTTTTCCGAGAGAGTTTGAAGAAGCTCCTTTTCAGCGTCTCTAAATCGGTGAGTGATAGCGCCATCAGGCAATTCATTTGCACCGCGGGATCCATCCACCTTGACTTTGTGAATGAGGGCTTTAACATTGTCGAAAAAGTTCTTGACCGTCTGTTCAACCTGAATTGTTTCGTCCATGCTTGTCCTCTTAAAGTCCATCTTGGCATCCCATTGATGCTTGAGGAAAAACAAACGAAGCTGACGCGCTGAGTATGTCTTGAGAGCTTCTTGGATTGTGATAAAGTTCTTTAAGCTCTTACTCATCTTTTGACCTTCTACGTGGAGATGACCGGCATGCAAGAAGTAATTGACCCATTGCTGGCAGTCATAATAAGCCTCGGACTGAGCCAATTCATTGTCGTGGTGAGGAAAGGCCAAATCGATACCGCCACTGTGAATATCCATGTTTTGATCAAGAACAGCGCTAGCCATGACGGAACACTCAATGTGCCAACCAGGACGACCCTGTGACCAAGGTGAGCTCCAGACAGGCTCTCCAGGCTTGGATGCCTTCCAAAGGGCAAAATCACTAGGGTTCTTCTTGCCTTGGAGCTTGCTACCTAAACTGCCTTCACCATCCTCGATCAAAGCGGTATCGCCCTTGGACCATGGTTCAAGTTTGGCATAATGATGACCATTGTGTCCATCATATCGTGCAGTGTCAAAGTAAACAGAGCCGTCAGCAACATAAGCGTATCCGTTGTCGATAATCTTTTGGATATACTCGATAATCTCTGGAACATATTCGCTCACACGCGTTTGAATATCGGGTGCACGTACATTCAGAGCTTCCATATCTTTAAAGAATTGATCTTCCCAGTAAGCGGGTAAATCGCGGAATACTTTGGGGTCGTTGACTTCTGAACCTTTCTATAAACGGATGCGTCAATTTCTCTTCCTTTTTCTTCCTCTTTCCCTTCCTTACCCTAACATCTAACCATGCAGACAATGTATCTTGTGATGCATCCAAGAGTTGATCTGCTGCCTCTTTTGTTTTAATGCCTTTGGATAATTCTTCTTTTGCTTTTTGAATAGCATTGTAGGACGTGGACTAAGAGGGGAGGATTGTCAAGCTCTCATTACTCTTTCTTCTATTGTTATCATTACCAATGCACTATAAATCATTCTGAATTTTTCATCCGCAGCAACAGCCTTTGTGATTTCCTCAGGTGTCATCTTATTTACAAATTCTGGCCAATTTGTAATAGCCAACTGCTTTATTGTCTCATCCAACTTCTTCAGCTTGGTTTTGGCAAATTCAGTCCAGGCCTCCTCTGTTTGTTGAACAATAGCTTCATCCAATGTCTGTGTCTCCTTTTTGAGGTTATTGAAAAGATACTGCTGACGAGCTCTCAAGATAATTTTGTCATCGATATCTGTAACATTCTGTACAAAGAGAACGTCGTATCTAAAGTAGTCTTGAAGAACACGGCGAATGATATCCATAGTCAAGTAAGTACGTGCGTGCCCCATATGAGAGGCATCATAAACAGTAGGTCCACAATTGTACCATGTCACTCGACGACCTGATTGAGGAATGAATTCTGTCTAAATAAAAAAAAAAATAAGTTTTTTACAGCAATAAAGTCGAGGTGAATGCATACTTTGGTTTTGGTAAGAGAATTCTGAAATTTAAGAACAGGTACAGTTTTTGCTTTAGGCTGTATCCAAGGAGGCTGTTGTCTTGATGTCATTCTGATGGAACGAGAAAAAGAGTGGAGCGTAAAACAGGTAATACGCATATAACAAAAAATTAAAAATCCTTTTGTCCTCCCGAAACTCAAAATGACATACTATGGTAGTGGCTTAGCCGTGAGTCAGGTTGACCTTTTACACAAAAAAAGGTACATCGGATCACGAAAAAGGATTACTGCGCCTTTTCTTAAAGAATCATATCATAATGAATCATTCTGTCGCCATAGGAACTATAGTTCTAGTCTTTCATAGTATATGCTCTATATGGTCAAATGTCGTTGGATAATGAAAATCACTGCTATTAGCCAATGAGAATCAATGTCAGTTAACTATCCGCTGATACCTTGGCTGGCTGCTTGGAGATAGACCTCAACTATCTCTATTACGCTGACTCGATCTTACGTTATCAAGTGCAACGTTGCTCACTAATACATGTAACATATTTGATATCATGGACAAATACAATAATCATAAAAGGTTATACTTCATCCTTATGGTAAAAGCAACAGCATAACCCAGATCGTGAAATGAACAGTAAGGTCAATGTCAGGAACGAATTAAAAGTTTTTCTTCGTGAATCCAGGAACCGTTAGTCAATCAAATAAAGATTAGTCTCAAAGAGCACTTATTTTGTCTTTGTTTTGAGTCATATTTATCATTACATAATACAGTCAAGTCAGCAACGTCCTGCTCTCTTTCTCTCCATACGTTTGAACAAATTGCTTATCATTTGCTGTATCATTTCCTAAGTAAAATGACTTTGATATAACTACTAGATATCTCTTAGCATCAGACAGCAAGTATAATAACATTAAGAGAGCATTCACAAACACTTATTTGCTCCTTCTACTATTCATTCTTTTATCCATTTTTATTTTAATAAACTAGTTTAAGTCTGCTTACTCTTGTGTCGTTCTATATCTTTAACTGTCCACAAGGAAACTCCTGTTTGGCTTGACTCATAAGGTTGCGCCATTGTTCTCAAGAACTTCTTTGCAACAACCACTGCCATATCCGTTGATAAATTGGTAGATGCATCTGTCACATATTGATTAATCCACTTTGGTAATTTGGCCCTTTTATCAGCTCTTGCAAACCTCTGTTTAAAGTATTAGCAGACAGTTTCTTTTTTTTTTTTTAATCACTTGCCTTATCTGCAAACACCATCAATCCATAATCTGTTTTACCTCTTAAAACTCTTCCGACACACTGGGCTGCATGTCGCATTGCATCAAATGTCAAAAAGTCATTCTCCCGAATGTACAGATTATCTCGTAAATACTCCAATCTAGCTTTCAAAATACGTGATTCTGTGTACTGATAAGGTATACCAAACATGATGACAGCTCTACCGTAGTTGTGATCAAAATCAATACCTTCTGACACTTTACCACGAGCAACAGATAGTAAGATAGCACCACGGCCATTATCGCATGCTTTTCGATAATTGGCAAGTGCGAGACTTGTTTCGGCTGCATCAGGCGTTTCCACAAAGATGAGTTTATACTTCCAAGCTTCATTCAATATACCCATATCGTTCCACATAGATACAATCGACTCCATGTAAAGATAGCTTGGAAAGAAACAGACAACACCATCAGGTACAATCTTGGCAAACTCTACCATGATTTGACCAAAATTACGAACAACAGCTGGATCATTTCGAACCTCAAACTTGGAACTCACTGCGACTTGATCAGACCCTCGGGTAATGACCATAGGAAGAAAACAGTTTCTAGTCAATGTCATTGCATAACTTTCTTGAACAACAGCTTCAAACTTGAGCATTTTGGGATACATATCTAAGGGAGATAAAGTACCAGAGGTGATAACCACCGTACGGAATCTATCAAAGACTGGCTTGATAGCAATAGACGCGTCTAAACATCTATAGTTAAAAATGGTCAGTTACAGTTGGTATTTTCAGTCTAACTTTTGCCTACGTGAAATGGAGTACTGGGTTAGGTATAGTTGCCGTCTCAGTTTCAAATGGCTCTAGAATGAGTAAAAAGCCTTTGTCATAAGTTGATACAAGAGTAGCAAAGCCAGCAACCTTTTGAAGACTAGAAAAATGCTCTAAATCTGTAAGTTCAAGTGTTCTTACTAGACTTGACAATCGTTCAGCACAGAATCGTAATGGCTTTCTTTCAATATATGTCACGTCCTTTAAATGTTGTAAAAATGATGTGGGTGTTTCTGCTACAACGTGCATCACACGAAGACGTGTCTTTTTAAAAGAAGATATAGTTTTTAATCTTTAGGCAAATTAGCAGTTATTTCTTTTACCTTCAAATATTCAATAAATCGCCTTAAAAACGCTACAAAATGCTCTGCTCGTCTAATATTACCAGGAACTGCTTCTTTTAATAAATCATCTGGTAAAACAGGACTTGCCATAAATGTATCCTCGTCTCTTGCTGTACTTGCATCCCGCAATCCTTCGACAAGCTTGGTATATTCGTTTTTTAATCGTTGAGCGTCAGTCTTTTTGATTCTATAGATAAGTTAAGTTATTTTGCAGCTTTAATTACATTTGTATGATCTACATACTCTTCGATTTTTTCTGACAGTATACCTATGCTCCTAGCGCTTGCATCTAGCATGGGACGCGTCAGATCAATACTGAGAGATTCAATACAGACATTATCAATATTGTGTGCTTCATCAAATACGACGATACAATCTTTTGACAACTCTCTAGATACAAGCTCAGCTACTTTTGGATCGAGCATGTAGTGGTACGAGTAAATGATAACGTTAGCAAACGGTATCTGTTATCATTAAGAGAGAGAGAGAGAGAGTGCAGCCCGTCAGAAATACATAAGCTATGACATTTTTTATGAAACTTACTGCTCTTCTCACGAGGTAATAAGGGCAGTATGTCATTTGTCTGCCGTAATCTTTGAGGTCTTCTAACGTATAAATGCCATTTGGTATAGGATTTGGAGAATTAGCTGCCTCTAATTGCTATTATCGTAAAGCACATCAATCTTTTGATGCTCTTTTCTATCTAAATGTAAAATTACCTCATAAAAATCGCATAGCGGCACAGGTTGATCTATATCCATTGGATCATCTGTTTGTTGCTGTTCCTCAGCATTCTTCTTTTTTATCACCTTTGAGCGAACCCAACTAGCTGTTAAATTTCTGCATTTGGAATCTACTGACTTGCCCTTTCTTTCCTTTGAGACGATCGGGTTCAAACACAGATTTTTACGCGATGTAAGTCCAATACCGAAAAAGTCTTCTTGAAGTCCTTGATTTCTTCGATACTTCATCAAACGCTTCAACTCTCCTAATGCTTTATCGATTTCTGGTACTGTACGCGAGCAATAAACTAACTTTCTATGTTTTTCAGGATATTGCTGGGTGTATACATAATCAATAACAATGTCAGATAAACCTCTTTTTTGTTGTTACCATTTGATATGCAACAATAAGAGATAATAAAGAAACTGTTTTTCCAGTTCCAGAAGGCATTTCAAGAACACAATGTCCCTAAGGAGGGCTTTATTAGTCCTTATAATAGTCATTTCTAAAATCAAATTATTCTACCTCTGCATCAAGTGATCTTTTTAGATCACACATGTACTGATATTGTTCCGGGTATATTTTATCGTAAGGAAAGTGTACAATAAGGTCGTCAATGTTAAAGCTAAATACAGTTTAATTTCAACAAGGAGAGTAATGAAGCTATCATTATTATTTACATCATTTTATATACAAATCTAACAGCTTTTCAAAAAGGGAAAAAAAAAGCAATGCTCCTACTACTACGCTATTTTGTGTGTAAAAGTAAAATTACATCCCCGCAAGTACATAAAACTAGATTACTGTTTTCAGAAAACTTATTTGGAATGAAGAGAAAAATGACATTATTTATCCATCTTGCTTCCGACAATGTAAATTACTGAGCTGTAGTCGAGCTTCTGGTTTACTGTTTATTCTTTTGCATTTTCTCATAAGACTGGAAAAGCTAACGAAGGAAAAGAAAAGAAAAAGAGAAAATTTTGGTAATTTTTCATATCTAAATTCGTTCATTAATAAAAAAAATTCAAGATGCATTAGAAATTTGCGTTTTCTATTCAGTAATCTCCAGCAGTAGTTATAATTTCGTATTAGATCTAAAATATATTTTTCTTTAAATGTACTTCAATACGCTTGATTTTATTATTTAGTTGCAATGCAACAGAGAAAAAAAAAACAGAAGAGGAATTCGTAAGAAAACATTTGTGAACATTTATCACCAACTCGAAGCAAGTCAACAGTGTAATTTTCAGCACGAAAAAAAAGAAAGAGGAGGAAATACTGAAAAAGTCACGTGATCTTTAAATTATATATAATTTAAAAATCTTGCTAGAAAGCAAGGAGGTCGCTTAGCTCAGTTGGTTAGAGCGTGGTGCTAATAACGCCAAGGTCGCGAGTTCGACCCTCGTAGTGACCACTTAATATTGTAAATCCCTCTTCCTTTAGGGACTTAGGATTTCATTTTTAAATTTTTCCATTGTATGGGGTGCGCCTAGGGGATTTTACTGCATTGTCATACTTTTGTATTACATTGATACCCTTTTTGGTATCTTATGCTCTGCATGTCCAATGCAAGTTTTAATGATTTATCATTTATCATTTATTATATATATATATATTATATTGCATATTTAAACAGTATAAATATCCCCAAATTATTCATAAAATAAACAATATCTAAGAATCATCGTATCTTCAGATCACAATAACTTCTATTTTATCTTATATCTTAAGCAACAATTGCTTAATAACCTTTTTATTTTATTTTTCACTTTATCTCACAGGACTTAGCATTATATTGCTCTATATTAATCTTATATTAAGACATGGTGGTCACTACAATACCAAATTCTACTTATAAAACTTATTTTTAACCTTACTACTAACACCCAGTAACAACATTATTTCTATTTTTATTATGTATTGCAAATCCTCCTTTTTGGTACTAATTCTTACGGTTACAATTAATGACTCACAAAAGATAACTATGAATGCATATAACTTAAAACTATAGAACAATATAAATATCCCTCATAATAATGTGACATATTAGACGAGTTTGGTAATAGAGTACCACAAGATCAATACGAAATTTTCATATATTTGAAGTTTTCATATTTTTGAAAATATCGATACAAAAAGTAGTCCTGATGTCCTCTCAAAAACATATAAATAGCCTTAGTCCTTGCTTCTCCTTGCCAAAAAAAAATTCACTCATCAATTAATTGAATCAATCACCTTTTCTTTTTATTTTATATTCATACAATAAACAGGTCTTAACTTTTGTTATAAAAGTTCCTGCTCTTATTCTTTTATCATCACACCTTTACGAACCTAACAATTGATCTTTTAATAATATCTGGTGATCACTATACTATACAAACCTCTGTTTAAACGCAAACTTTATTCAAACCTTTGACTTATAACAAGTCTACTTAACCCACTCTAACGAAAGAAGAAAAATTACAGTATAAATACTCTTGCTCGTTGCGTTCTTCTTGGACAAGACATTGAATATTTGAATAAAACTACCCCTCTATCCTTATATTCTTTCACCTCTCTTATAAATCCTTTCTTTAAAAGATTTATAATCCTTTTTTTTATTTTCTTTTCTTTTCATTATTTACTTAAAATCCTTTTTGATCTAGTATCAACCTCATACTACTGATCGCAATAGTTCTTGTGCCTTTTTATTTTTAACCAATTACTTTATTTTTATACTTTATAACTCAATTGCTTATTTGATCTGTTATAGATCTGGTGGTCACTATCATAAACGACTTTATAACTCAAAGCTTACACTCTAACCTTACCCAAACAAATAACCAATTCTATAGTAGCACAGTTTTCAAAAAAAAAAACTTTAAATATCAAACCTCTAATTTACTCTTTAACAAGTATAAAAGAGCAATGCTTTTGCTAAAAGCTCATATCATTCAATAAATCACCTACGATTTGAATCAAAACCTTTTCCTTTTTTTATTTTTATCTTTTATTAACTTCTGAATAATCCAATCAAGTGAATTCAGGAACCTTTTTATCTTTTTTTATTATTCTTTTTACTTTGTACAACTCAGTCTGATCAACTTTACACGATCCGGTGGTCACACATCGAACCTTTATTATAACTTTATCTTTCTAAACATTTTTAAAACGAAAATCTAATTTAAAACCTTTAAACCAAACGTTAATTTCTGGATAAACTGGACATTACGTCAGTTAATCTCATCATCATTTTAAAAGAGTAAATTAAAAGGAAGAATCTGAATTTAAAGAAGTATACGTATTAAAAAAGATCAGAGATAAATACAAAGTTCTCAATTTATTTATCAACGTTTGATAGATATCTCCAATACTAATACTACGCTCTTGCTTACTCTTGCCTACATGTTTCTATTACTTATATTATCTTCTAAATTTAGTCTTTATTTTAGCAAAATATCTTGAAGTTCTCACACTTCACTGTATATACTTACATACTTACAAAATGCACTATCTGCTTCGTCCAACAAGTATTTCTTGCAGCTCTTCAAGGAATTGATGTAACTAATGAAGAAATACTTGCAGGTCCTTTATCACTTGAAAAATGCATTGAGCGATGGCGACATTATAAAATATTGTGATAATTGTTTTATATTATCAAAAAGGCAGGTCATTACTTTTAGGACTCTTTTATTCGATAATACAAAGCTCCCGTTAAAAGGATATCTAGAATAAGGGTATTCATCGTCAGTGATTTAAAAAGTCTACTACATAACTTGTATCTCATTCTTTATGAATTTACTTGTGGTTGATTATGACTCTAACTGCTCTGTTTTCTACATTCTTGACAACATTGTGTTGCCTAAGGAGATATCGCTGGGGATTTAATTATTAGCTTTATTCTTTGATGTGCTTATTCTATTATTGATTACAACAACAACTAAATGGATAAGCCCAATAGAGTATTTTTGGCATTGAAATTGACAATAACCATATTCTTATTTTGTAGCGTTACGGCATGTAACACATACGTTATCGTCGTTACATTTAGTTGAAGATCGATACTACCTTACCACATTTGATCATAGCGAGACATCAACTATAAAATTTCATAAATACTGCATTGTTTTAAATAAAATAAAGATTAACTCTTTCTTTTGTACAGAAATTGGTCATTGCTTGCAAAAACACTAGAAGATTCGAACCTCTTCTATTTTCCTATTCACATAAGAATTAATCTTATCACCTGGATGTTCTTCCCATATTTCTTGGATGATTAAAAAGAGATGTGAATTAAACAAATTGCTCTTACTTCTCATAGATGTTAAAAGTATAAATACCAATGTTTATTCATTGTAAATAAAAGACCATATTTCAGTCTCACTAACTTATTGTCTATTTCTATTGTCACCCATTTTTTGCCTTTTACTTACGCATTTGGCAAAGCACATATATTTATCTTGTGCATTCCTTTTTCGGCTTCTTCCTAAGCTAAAATTCATGAAACACTGTAGCATGCACCATATTATTCAATGCTTAAAAATAAGATCTAGAGTTGAATCTGTTGCTACCATAAGACCTATTACAATTCAATCAAGCCTGGTCAACCCAGTTTAAATACCTCAGCTTCTTAATATATAAATATAGATTGCGCTATCGTCTTTTTTCTCTTTACTTTATTCCAAATAACGATATACGCAATCTCATCGTACTTTTACTTTGCCGGATTACGCATTTAACTCAAATATAGCAAATGCGGTTGATAAAGTAAAATTTGTTAGTATAAGTTATTAGTATGAGCGAACTTTATAGACCTAGTACCAAGCGAACACTCAAATAAAAGCATCTTTGCGGAATCCAATCTATTATGTAGTTGAATCAATAAGATAGCAACAAGAATGACCTATAATAGCTTATTAATTTATCTAAAGCAATTTTTCCATGTTTAAATGCTTTTTTTTTTTTTTTTTTTTTTGTAATAAAGCTTCCACCAAAGGCTCTTTGACGTGTAATAAGAATAATAGCAACTTTTTGAGTATGCATATTTCTTTATTTCATAAATCTTGCTCCTCAGAGAGAAGAACTTTAACTTTATTAAATATACTCTCATCTTCTTTATTTTTGGCGCGCTTCTTAATTTTTTATTTATTTGCTTTTAATTAATCGAATTTATTACATTCATGCCCTGTTATTTATCTTCTCCAGCATATTATCATTTAGCATATTGCTGTAATTTTATTTCGGCAAGCATATAGAGATGTATTTAAAAGGGCGTTTCGAACTATAGTCATTGTTTGAACTGACGTTTTATTATGTCTCCAGTTCGTTTATTTTCTGTAAATTATATACCTTAGAGCTTTATTAAGTGGTAAAATAAGATATAAGATATGTATTTCATTCTTGCGTTACAAAAAGTTGTGCTGTATTGAAGTATTGTCTCAATTTATGCATTTAGAGGAAGCCTAATACAATGAGCAAAAATAATAATAAGTATGAAAACCAAGTGTTTATCTCAAAAATTAGGTACAGCAAGTAGCTTGTCTTTTCCTCTTTAAAAAAAGAGTTCTTTTCTGATATTTTATGTAACTTCAAACCTGCATGCCTCATATAGAAATTAGAATGCTTTTGAAAAATGCTATATTCATAAATACGCATTTATTAAGAAGTGAAGTTAAAGGATCTCAGTACAAATTATGCTTTTGTTACTTGAGTGTTACTATGATATTATCAAGCAGCTAGTGTTACTCTATACTTAAATTTATAAAATGCTCTTCATGTACTAGCAAGTAGAGCACTCTGCTTTTATGTCCTCCGCTTCTAGAATATTTCCTTCATAATTTTGATATAAACATTTCTAAAGGTGTAAAAGAAGTAATTGTTATATCTCAAATTATTATATACTATCTATGCTAATAGCAGATAAAGTGCCAAATATATATACATCCAAGTTGAAATGAGTCTAAAGAATACAGCAATGCAGCCCAAGACCAAAGGATGTTTTATTCGCATTACAAGAATAGCTTTGTATTTTTAATAAAACAAACAGTAGTGAAAGCTTATACTTGACAGAAAAAAAAAGTTTTTTTCCTTAGTCGCTTTCTTCAATTCTCGTTGCTTTATATAATTGCAATCAATGTGTAAATATGCTTTGTATCTAAAAATTGCATGATTTACTATATGTCCTAGAAAAGGCTGACGACAGCTGTGGTGTATTGTATTTTGCTAAAAAGCTATGGTAAAAAGATTGAATAATTTTAATATCGATAATTTATAAAGATAGGTCACCGGATTCTGATGCGTGATTGAGTTAATAATGCGCAAATGGAATTTAAGAGATAATAAAGAGTAAAAATAATTTTCAAAAAGCTAAGACGTATTCTTCCAAGAATGGGTGCTGTAAGCTTTAAAATGCATGCCCCTTATTACGCAGCCAGATATTCACCTGGTATGCTGTAAGATGATGTGCGTCTAAGGATATGGGGGGGAACGAGAGAAAGGCGAGTATTGATCAATAATGGGATGTACCATATTGCTCTATAAATATATCATCTTATCATATAAGATTGATTTTATCTATAGTACAGCAGACTGGTTATAAGACACGTTATTATCATATAACACTACATATCCAATCCTCATTGGGGGATGGTGATGTAAATTTATTATATGAAAGGAAAAATACAAGGTGATTCAGACTTCTAGGGTTTTTGTAAAGTTAATGATACAATTCTTGTAACGAAAGAATGGTGTTTTTATCGAAATACATTAAATCCGTTATTTATATCTTTCTAAATTGGTAGTGCGACGAGACGTTGTTTGAGTAACAATGGAATTGAAGTTACATTACATTGAATGACGATACTTGAAACATTACAAGATGTAACAATGGTTAAAGCATGTAATTCTCCTATTTGCATATAAAATACTGCTATAATGTTCTCTCGTCATAATCCATAATAAAGAGATTGTATAACTGTATTTCTTCTTTTATTATTAACTTATACCAAAAAATGGTTCAGCCAGCCCAAAGCGCTCTTGACAGAGTATTTCTCTTTCTCCAGTAAAACTTCATTTGTATCCAGTCTAGTTATTTTAATCACTAGTGGAGCCATTGGGTATTTATTTGAAAAAGAAGAGAGCGAGATAATTAGAGAAGTAGGTAATACAGGCATTAAAATTAAGGTTATCCAGTAAGAGCCTTCTATATTTAGGAACCAAGTTAAAGACTAACGTGAAAAAATATCACTAAAGGCGGCAATTCCGAGTTATTTTTATCACTGTTAACTCAGGCATTCAGTGTGGGCCTTGGAAAGAGTAATACATAGTAAAAGCAGTGATTAGAGCAGCTTGTGCTTTTAGAACATGACAATAACAGCTTGGTTAACATTATTACTGCTCCATGCAGCGATAAGTGGCAAAAATGACACATATATATACTGCGGTCTGTATATATAAAAGAGTATTCACTTGAGAGGTTATTATTTCCGTAACAATTGGCACTACATATTATGACGATAATGATACCACAGGGTTCTCTTAATGGTATTCAATTGAATAAAGCTACTAGAGTAATTTTTTATTTGCTAAGAGAAGAAGTAAGTTATCTTAGTCAATTCAATCCTTATCCACAATGATCTAAAGCTACTCGAATAAAAATATACAACTTACCAATATATTCATGTAATGCGTTGCAGCTTTTTTATTCTGATCAAAACGCTAAATGCCCGAACCATGCTAAATTCACTCTCCGTCGTCTATTATTTGAACTCGGCTGTACCTCTCTTTTTTTTCTTCACTTTTTTCTTTTTTACTTATTATAATGTCTGATCATGAAGATGTTGATGCACTCTTTGAAGATGATCCTGGACCATTAGAAGAAGTCATTGACGAAGATGATGCAGAAGATCTCAAATTAGATCAGGCAGAAAACAAAGTTTGGCTCGTCAAAGTAAAGATTAGACAATGAAAGAGAATTTGTTAATGTCTTTCATGAACAATAGGTTCCAAGGTTTCTTTCCGAGATGTGGAAGAAGATTGATCAAGAGAATGTGAGATTAGGAAGTGTTCGTATATATAAAGACAGGTAAGGTGTATACAGCCTGAGTATTTTCAAAAATATAAGCAAATCCTCTTACCATATTTTATGCTAGTGCACAGCAAGGAAAATCAAGTGTAAGTTTGCAAGGCATATCATTCGCTTATATCTCATATCATTTTCTTAGGTGTCTCTTGTCTTACCAGATAACGAAACAACAGCGAATATTCCAAAAGAGTACAGCATCAATTTCATATCAACAGATGTGCAGAATAAGTTTGTATTTTCACAATCAGACCACGGCAAGGCAATCAGCGGCACAGTGTACCATGAAGGAGTAGCTGTACCTACAGAAACGAATGCATACAGAAACATTATGAGAAAGAGAGTGATGGAAGCAGGCACGCCACAGAGAACGACACAGGTTCTTGGGCAGAACAATCAGCCAATTTTTGTACCAGGAGCAAGCAGTACAGTTCCAACAAGTGATTTTGCAGACTTTGTTGTAAGTTTCTTTGATGACCATTATTTCATTTGCTAACCTACACCATGTAGCAATCCAAAAAACCAAGACTCGACAAAGAAAAAGCAACACGTATGCCCAGAAACGAACTTATGGATTTATTATTTGCGGCATTTGACAGATACCCCTACTGGTCATTTAAGGGTATTTTGGAAGAAACAAAGCAACCCAGTCAATACTTGAAGGAAATACTCAATGAGATTTGTATCTTAAACAAGAGAGGGCCTTATGCTGGTAACTATCAACTGAAACCAGAATTCAAGCAGAGGCTTTCCGCAGCTGAAAAACAGAATGTGGTAGAAAAATCACCAGAAGAGGCTACATCAAGTGAAGATGAAGAGTTCATGGAGGATGTGAAGTTGTAGTGGATTTGAAATGAAAAAAAGGAAAGAAGGACAGTCTTGTTCGATAATAAAGTCTATAATTAGAACATAGTCTCTAAAGTAAAGTGTACTTTTTGTTAAAAGGAACTGTAAAATAGACCTTTTTGAATATTGAAAATGCACAGTATGATAACAAAATAAAGGACATCTTTTATCATTTTTTCCATGTAATAAACATGATGCTTCCCAAACAAACAATATGCATATATTTATATACATATATGATGCATTTTCATTGGATAAAAGACTGTACAATCTTTATGCAACATCAAAACCCTTTTTTTTGCTTTTTGTCTTATTTCTCCTTTTTTTTTTTGAAAGATAAAAAATTTGAATTCAAGATGGATATCTATGATACAACGGATGCAGAACATAGTTTAATAGATGAAGAAGGAATCAACAGTTATGATACAGTGATTAAAAGTTAGTTTACTATAATAAAAAGCGATCTAAAGTAGTTACTCATTCCTCTTTAGAAATCATTGACGATTTATTCTCTTATGATGATGTAAAAAGAAAGCGTATACTAGACCATTATTACTTGCCAAATGCTACATTTGTATCTCCCATCCTGAAATCATCTGGAGTTCATAATATAAAACAGTAAGGAGAAAAGAAAGAAGGAAGCAATCTAACTTTTTTACAAAAAAAAAGTATTTTTCTAGTTTGGAAGATGCTAAACAAAATACCGCCTACGATAAACAACATTTGCTTCAACGGAAAGACATGTGTTGTATTTTTAGAGCAGACGTTATGCCCAAGAATGTTTCCATATATCAAAGTACAACTACCAGTAACAGTCATATTAGAGTTTAGAGAGACAGACAAAGATAGTGGATTGTTAAAGATCGAAGCACATGAAGAACACTGGACAGTGGAAGGTGCATATTGAAATAATGTTCTCTATGGTTATAATAACAACAAACATTAGGCATCATCAGCACAATACCTATTCTCTCATTTTGGTATGATCGTATTGTTCGAACCATGTTTGGCAAATTACTGACTGCAACGGGTGAAGCTGTTTATACTGCAACTGAAACTGCGAGTTTACTCGTTCAACGAAGTAAAGAGATTGAAGAAGCAAGAAGAAGGCTGGAATTGGACAAGAAAAGTCAAGAAGAACCTTCCATCTTGTTGACATTAAAACATTCTTGCCCTTAAGTACCTAATCTATTTTTTTTTTTTTATTCAATAAATACACACAATCTGTTCTTTTAACCTAAAAAGTGAATACAGAAACCATGTAAAAGAATGGAGCAAACGACAAAATCAGCAAAGGCTCTAGTATCAAATCTGGTTTAATAAATGCGTTGTATTTTTTTGCTTTCTACCTTTCTGGCGATATCGTCTGAAATGTTTCCTTATTGTCAGGATTGGTTTGAATGCGCAAGTTAGCTAATGTATATTCGCGTGAATAACTGTTTGGTAAAGAACAATAATATAAATACCAGCAAGAACAAAACTTCCAACAGTTGAGATGAAGCCACCAAGGAAAGCGTTATATGGGAATGTACCAACCATCAGCATATAAATAAATTGAAAAATGCCAGTGAATAATATATAAACAAGGTATATATCAATAAGCTTTAAGCTATTGGGTGTATCTTTATGATATGCTGTAATAAACTTTTTGGTAGCTGCACTTAATCCTTCCATTTTGAGTGTATATAAAAAAGAAAAAGAGATACAGAGAGAGATACCGAAAAGAGCAACTCATATTCTATAGTTGAAGTTCAGCCAATGAAATGCAGTAGAGTGAGGCAAACGAGTGTTTTATTAAAAGTTAAATTATATGATTATGGGCCACATTAGGCTAAGCTATTGAGGCTACAAGAGGAGCATATTATCAATATATATGATTTCTGAGTATAGTTTTTCGAAATAGGGTTGAATCATCATATCACAAAGCAGTAGTTATAAGCAATATGATGATCAAGGGGATGGAATAGTATTCACGCTAAAAGGTGGATTAGAGCAATCCCCTTTTACAAGTAAAGTTTTTGAACACCATAGCAAAAAGACTGATTTATATATAGTGTTTGATGCATTTGAACAACTTGCTGTGTCTTTAATTATAAAAGAAAAGCTTTTGTATAGTCTCACATTGACACTTTCAACATAATTTGAACGATTTTTTATTCAGAAATTACGCAGAATCCACCAAAGCGTAACGAGATGCACAACGGTCAAATAGACTCGACTTTAAATCAAGTTCCTGCAAATAAGGATGTTGTGGCGCGACTTCTCTCAATTGACTATATAAAGTGTTATTCATCGCCTCCTATTGTCAACAATAGACACACTTTACCTAGTATAGCGGGTGATCACTTCTTGAGATTTTCCAGTTAAAGTAGCACATGTGATCAGATTAATAAGTGTCTCTGGGTTATCACTATCCTTATTCTGTGCTTCTAATAGTAGACTCTCTGCTTCAGGGTATCTACCTAATGCGAGGTTCGCTGCAGCTTGACCATTCAACACTTTCACTGTCTGAGCTGTGTTTGATTGAGCAAATTCTTCATAGATATAGTATGCTTCTTGATATTTCTCTCCTCCCTTTGAAAAAATGATTATCAATAGGTTGTTCTTCCGTTCTTATATAATAACTTACAATTCGAAGATCTACCCAAGCTTCCATCATTTGTAATAATAAAGCATCTTCAGCCCAACTCTTGACACTTGCAACTTCATTTCTAGCCAAGTCTAAACGGTCTAGTTGAAGATAAATTTGTACAGCTAAAGCAGAACTGAATATGTATATAAGTTATAGTCATTTCATAATGTGCTTGTGTAAATACCATTCCAATTTCTTTTGTCTAGAGTGAAGAACTCTCAGAGCATCTTCAAAACGACCTGCTTGTACCAAAATGGAAGCAATGACGACTTGAACAACAGAGTTGATGCGATTGGAGCCTTCTTCAAGTAAAGCCATAGCCTTTTGTACATGTTCATCTACATTCTTTTGTTTATCAGACAAAAATGAAGCAAGCAGCTTGATGGCCTTTAAAGGTGCTTCTTCAGCAGAACCAATATCATTGATGACCAAGTTGTATTTGCCTTGAGCCACATAAGAGCGATACAGATAAGTCTGTGCCTCTAGTTTGGCCTCTGGCGAGTAAATGCCTTTGGTTGAACTGACTTCATTTATGACAGTTTGATAATTTCCAAGCGCGAAGAGGTTGCGAATGCCAAACAAGATTGATTCTTCATCCATGATGAAAAACTGAGCAAGAAAAAAAATACGTGTTTTATTAAGAGTGAGTGAGAGCTACATAATTAAATTTGGTTGGTTGTGACTTAAAAGGAAATCCTGAGTAAAGTCTGTACTAAAGGAAAGAAGCTTTGTCTACAGAAATGAAAGTTACTTAAATAAAGAAGAGATCCATTACTTTCATATTATTTGGTCAAATTTGAAGTAAAAATAGTATAAAGAATTCTTTTTTTATTCGTTAAAAATGTTATTGTTAGGACCAAATATGACTTGTGGTCTGCATGTTCTCTGAGGGTTCTTTCGTCCAATTTCTGTCAGTGCTTCAATATCTTCAGGATCCATCTTGAAATAGGTCAAGTTGGTTACAATACGCGATTCTGTCGTAGACTTTGGAATAACGGCGTATCCTCTGTTAATACCATAGTTAAGTACAACTTGCACTGGTGCCTTGTTGTACTTTTCAGCGAGCTTAAGAACAGTGGGGTGCTCGAAAATATTGATCATGTTGTTTCTGTAACCAGGATTACCAAGTGGAGAATACGCGGTTAGTACAATGTTTTTCTTTTTGCAATATTCGACCAAATCTTCTTGAGGCAAGTAAGGATGAAGTTCAACCTGGTTGACAGCAGGAGGGATCTCACACTGGCTTAAAAGTTCTTCCAGCATGGGAATCGTAAAGTTTGATACACCTATTGAACGCGCCTTACCGCTCTTGGCAAGTTGTTCCATGGCTCTCCAAGTATCAATAATAGGAACATTAGTTACTTCGGGGTTGTCAATGTCTTTGAAGTCTTCAAATTCGTATCCCGTAAATTTCCAGGACATAGGGAAGTGCATCAAGTACAGATCTACATAATCTGTTTCCAAACTTTTCAAAGAGCGTTCAAACACAGGACCGACATGTTGAGGTTCATGAAAATTCTGCCAGAGCTTAGTAGTAATGAACAATTCTTCGCGAGGAATACCACTTTCTTTGATAGCCTTTGCTAATGAGTGTTCTGTTTGATCTATATAAATACTTTTAGCATCTGTCCACTTTATAAGAAGGGATTACTTACAGCTATAAGCCGTGTCAAAATGCTTATATCCAGCTTTTAAAGCAATCTTGCTAGCATTATAGACTTGTTCAGGCGCGTCATTGCCACCAAAAGTACCAAAACCAATTAAAGGGAAATTGTAACCACTATTGAGCTAATCTCGCAGAATGAGTATGTGATTTATGTCTTTTGATTCTTTTTACCTTGACTGATGGAATATCGGACATGTTTAATGATGGAGAAGGAGCTGCGGATATGGTTTATTTATAAGCAGATGCTGTTTATTTTGCAGTCCGAAATATCTCATTCGCGTAACATCACATCTTCCCTCGGAAAAAGCACGAGAGATATCTTTCCGAGGATGTTCTGAAAGTTAAAGTAACTGCTAAGCAGCACTGCTAAGCAGCACTGCTAAGCAGCACTGCTAAGCAGTACTCTTTTTAACCCAAAAATGTCATTTTATTTTTACTCTAAAAAGTACTTATTGCCATTTATTTGCTTCACGGTTCCGTGATTTCATTTCGCGTTCATATTCCGCTGCTTCTTCCACTAGCTTCTTGTTTTTTGAAGAGTTCAATTTACGCTGGAGTCTGCTATAGCTATTTTCTGGTTTCTTTTTGATATCTATTAATGATGAAGCTTTCTGATCTAGTGTCCTTCTTTGTCGTTTTTTACTAGAAGGAGCTTTTTCTTGTCCGCTTTGTTTCATTACATCTTCTTCGAGCAGTTCCCAGAGATTATCCATTACTTGATCATTATCGTTTTTGGTTTTTGAACCACTTTGTTCCTTAGAGCTTCCTGGATTGTTTGAAGAAGGATCTAATGGCCTGCCCAGCTCATCGCGAGGAATGATTTTTCCGTGAAAGGGACATGTAACAAGATCTCTTCTTGGGCACAAGCCTCCGTTATGCAGAGGATGTCTACATGCCTAGTGTGTATTAATGTGCCTAGTTCTTCAATAATAATAATAAATCTTACAGGTATCTCTTTTGGTCTTTCCGGTCTATAATATACAGCTCTTTTTCGGAGGTTTTGTAGTAAATGATCTGGTAACTCATTAACACCTTCACCTACGCCCATAAATCGATGCGATCTCTCTACAAGATGTTAGCTCAGTTCATTACATTCTCATATGCAAGTGTACCTATTCCACTGGTATTAAACTGAACATGCTCTTTGTCCCAGTAATATAAATCATCTCCCCACTATAGAACAAATCAGTACTGGCTCCCTCATTTGTTATCTTTATCTGTTACCTCAACAACAGGAGCAACTTTTAATAGCTCTGTTAACAAAATAAGTAAACGAATCTGAGTTGTTTAATCAAACTTACCCTCTCGTTGTTCTTCTGCTTTTTGTTTTCCTTTATCCTTCTTCGCCGCTCTAGATCTGTATTCGAGTCAGTTGATAGCTGTCTTTTATGGCTAAACACTTACTCGTCATTTGACATATCCTGCATAGGACCAGCATATGTAGGATCTTCTGCCATCGTCGGCTCATATGCTAATGGGAAAATACGTTGCAGGGGAGGTAATTTCGCGCTGCTGTTCGTCTTTGCCTCTCTTGCATCGGCAGCTTCTTTACGTATATCAACCTCTTCAAACTCCTCATCTGCAAACTCGTCATCTCTTTCGTCCAAATCATCGAGCGTGCTTTGCCCACTCTTTACTTCGCGCTGATGCACTTTAATTCCCAATAACTTTGCCTTTCGAGATGCTTCCGTCATTTTTGCCTTTAAGTCAATTAGCTTTTTAATTAAAGCTTCCTTCTCCGCCTTATCATCAATGTCGAGCCTAATTAAGGTGTTTATCCATACATTCACTTGCTTTATATGCTTTGTCTCCAGTACAGTATATGCTTCACGTAACTGGTCAAAAATGATGCTGTTATCCTGAGTTTCTTTTACATCTTCCATCAGTGAACTTTCTGATAGGTCAATGGTGATCTTGTACCGATTGGAGCCAAGACCATGGGATATGATGTTCTTTTTTTTTTTGTAAGATAAAATCAATCTCTTTCAAAATGAATTACTTACATCTTTGTAACTGTCATCAGCACGTTGCTTTGGTACAGCATCACCTCTTAGTAGCGCGTTAAAATCCATATCATCCTCTCCCTCCAGTATATTCTTGGGGACAAGTATATCAAAGCAACCGTCCATGGTATCCAAGTTATCATTGATAATATCCAAATGATCATTCACATCTGCCTTTAATAATTCATACCTATTTAACTGTAGGGCCTTTATCCTTGCCTACAACACAAAAGTTAATTTGTAAATCAATCTTAAATAGAAAGCTATTTACGCTTTTGTTCGCTTTATTTATATTATCTGCATGAATAGATGATAAGGAGCTGCTTGTTTGATTATCGTTCATATAACCATTATCCATCAAAAAGTCAAAGGAGATGCTAATTTGTCTATATATTTCGCCATATTTTATGTACCAATTCTTGATGAGTGCGAGTGCATATTGTTTTAGTTTGGCAGCAATCTGAGGAGGAGGTGGTAACTTTCGATCATTGAATCCAACCACAAGTTGAACAAATACAGGAAAATCTTCGGTTAATAATTCTCTAAAGAGTTTTGATCTATCGAACAATTGTTCAATAAGCTGTAAAGACGAATAGCGAATCTATTATATTCAAAGTTGGTATATTTTTTATCGTATTCCAATTTACACACACACACACCTGTGAATGGTTTTTATGTAATTGTGCCATGACATGAATAAATGCCACAGTGATGTAGTGATCTGACTTTTTACATGTTGCTTTTATCAACTAAGAAAAAAATACAGCTGTTTAATAAAAGTTGAATATGAACACCATTGCAATTACTTTTAGTTTCTTTTCGTCTAATATCCAGTTTCCAGTCTCGGTGATCTGTTTTATGAGTCCTGCCAGTTTCTCATCGACTTCTGGATTCATGGAAAATAATAGTAAGAAAAAGGATCCGCAGCGTCTATAAATTTATGCAAAATCAAATAAGGTGAAATGATTGGATAAAAACTATTCCTTTCATATTTTGGTTTACATCATACGAGGAAACTGTAGTAATAGAAAGGTTAGCTGTCGGAATATCATCAGAGAATGAAGCAGAGGGTCATACTGATCAGGAAATTGTATATATGGCAATAGAAAAGGATTGCCTGTGTAATACCGAAGGCGTCGTATTTCTACGTTTATATAGAAGAAGGTTACATCCTTTGACGCAGTATAATCAATACCAGCTGTCGTACAATTGGTACATGCTAAGTGGCAGCTATGTCCAAAAGTGTTCAGAACAATCACTTGTTGTCAAGTTCTGGTCCTGATAGTTCGAATCGTTTTTCAGTGAAAACAATAAGATTTTTTTGCAATGGTAGGTTACTTAAAAGAGATACTATCAAAGCAACTCTAATATACTTTTAATAGGGGGAAGCAATTTCAAAAGGTTGGCCTGTCACTCAAACTTGACTTAAGAATTGTCTTTTTCGTAGAAAAAAATAGTTTCGAGGCTGCTGTCGGTGAGGTGACTAAAGTACAAGCAACAACAAAAGATAAACTGTATAGGGACAAGCTCAAAGCTGTGCTGAATAATAAGTGTAGTCTAAACAAATTGATACGATTAAGGGAATAATTTTATTTGATGATAATTTTTAATGACCGATGAGCACATAGCATCCTCATGCTGTACTGCCCGGGTCAGATCGCAGTGAGAAGGAATGAAAAACCCTTTTGGGATTAAAGGGAAAATGTGAAAGAAAACAAATTGATACAGTATTTCTACTTTAAATTCAGACAATGTTAGCTTTTTTCTGGACATATCAAAGTTTACTTTCAAACGATTAGATTACCTTTTTTTTGGATAAAATTACAGTCGTTCCAACGCTAAAGGGCGGTTTCGATTCATCCAATGGGCGGTTTTTTATTTTCAAAGGTCAATATTTTTTGAAGTTCAGGCTTTTCTTCGTATCCGCTTCATCGAGTATCATCGCTCAACATGACGTAAGCACTCGAAATTTTATATATTTACAAAAAAAGCTCAAAAGTATTCTGAATAACAAAAATATTATTGAAATCTTATCAGTATAGTTCGTGGAAAGGTAACATCATATCATCATGTTATTAAAACTTTTGGCATCAGTTCGAGATGAGACTTGATCGATAAAAAGGTGACAAAATGCCTTTGGCCTGCTGAAGGACTTTGAAAGGCAGGAGATTGGCCAGTCCAAGCAACCATTGACGAGACTTGGGAGCTATCCTTGCTTCGACAAACGCCTTTCGTCGTGTGGTAACATTAGTGTTTGTAACATTGATGTTGTTGCCTTCAATTGGTAGTCCTCTTGGTTGGTATTGCCATCTACCTCTAATTGCTTTTTTTTTTCTTTTTTTTTAGACGACTCATATCCAAATCTTACTATGATAATGGTGGTATAAAAAGTCTCTAGCTGAAGGTAATACGTAAATCAAGTTATATTTTAAAACAACTGTATTAACTGCTTTTATTAATACAGGTTTAATTGCTAATTACAGGATTTGAAGACTTTCTATCTATGCTTATTGTTGATTTTAATATCCATTGTTGCGATAAATGAACTTTCTGGTCCTTCTGTCTTATGTGATTACTGGCTATTTCTATAAGAAGATGGTTGATTGATTTTGTTCATTTTACTATGTAGACAAACACGACATAGACGCTTTTGATATGGATGTTGAATCATTACACTTCGAGCTTCGTGATCTTGGTTGTTGTAATCATTCTTTCTTTATTAGTTCGAATTGTACAACGTAAAATAAAATACAGTAATATAAAACTTTTTTTTGATCCTTTATCGTCTTGAGTGAGAATGGAAATAACAGAAACAAACCAAGAAAACAGGGGAAGGAGGGCGGGAACAACCAAGATCACGAAGCTCGAAGTGTAATGATTCAACATCCATATCAAAAGCGTCTATGTCGTGTTTGTCTACATAGTAAAATGAACAAAATCAATCAACCATCTTCTTATAGAAATAGCCAGTAATCACATAAGACAGAAGGACCAGAAAGTTCATTTATCGCAACAATGGATATTAAAATCAACAATAAGCATAAGTTCAACAGATCGGATTTTTTCAGTGGCACTTTCATGCTGGTAATTTCTGTGAAGGTATACAAGTGTTCATACTGAAGGTTCATGACGAAAAATGTAATTGCTTGTCCTAAAAAAATAATAATCTAGTTATTTTCTCTTTTGCGTCTTTTTACCAGTGACATGGAAGTCAATAATTGTGCGAAGGTTATATTTAAAATATGACTACTCAGTGAAAGTCCATGATAATATCCATGGGCGAAATGTTCTTACCAGTTTTGATTTCCCCATAAGCAGATGTATATGCATATTCATAAGAATCGTACACATCAATCTTGTAGTCCGGGCGTTTTTTGTTGTTGGTTTCTTGTTCATCCAATATGAGCCCATCATTTAAGGGTGAACACTACATGCACCAGAAAATACATTAGAAAATAAGCTAATACTACGGACACTACCTCTACCCACTACCTATGGTGCCTTCTAACAGAACTTTCCAATGTGTGACGCCACGCTAAACATGATTTTATAAAGTCACCATTTTGGTTTGTTTCTTTTCAAGAAGAAAGAAATAAAAAGAAATATTGTTATTTATTCTAGTTTTATGTTGTCAGTTTGATCAACAAAGAGCCAAGATCATTCACGTGTAATTATGATAAATTCACATTTTACATCAAAGGATATTTCACTGGACAGTCTTGCATCTAGTGCCTAGAAGAAAAAACGCCCGTAGCATTAGCCTATTTTCTGGCGCATGTAGCGTTGGCCTAATTTAAGAAGCCCTGCTTGATTGATTGTCTCTTCATGCTAGTAAATAATTGAATCCTTAAACCTTCTTATGAAGCTGCTCAGGGTTGGGCTTGAGTTTTCTCTTATATATTTAGATAGTTCTATAATTGATAGCGTTAAGTCATCTCTTGTGTATGTACGTGTATGCGTGTGTGTGTTTCAAAAAAGAGGATGAAATTCTAAAGTCTTCACATCTCGAAATCTAGAATGGAAACCTTCTTGCAAGGAAGGGTATCAACAAACAATGGAAGGCTTACCCTTTTGCCTTTTATATGCTGTGTAGCTTCTAAATCAGGTCGTGCGAAAGTGTCCCTCACAGAGTCAGGAAAAGCCTTAAATGCGTGTGAAAAATGTTGGTTCACTATTATTACAAAATATCTTTATCTCAGCATTTCAAGAGTGAAGTGAAGACAACAACAATTGTGGGACTTCCTTCTACTGTGTGGTATTGCTTCCGATACGAAAAGATCAGCATATGATGATGAACTAACTGCAATACTAGAGGTATTTGGAACCTTTTGTCATGATCCATCTCTTAAAGGTACAACAGGTTGTATGGAGAGCTTATAACCCTTTCTGCTATATTTCTGAGAATAAAACAGCGACCAAGGCACCCATATTCGTATCCTTTGGCAAAGACATTCTTGTTAATTTACAAGTCTCTGTTCCTTTTGGTGATCCTGTCACACGGTTTATTACCACGCTCATTTTAAAAAAAAAAAGAAAGTTTGTTGTATTACTTTATCTCCTTCACATCGAACCTAATCTGATATGCATTAAACTACATCTGCATTGATGCATGCTTCTCTCTCCCCTCCTTTCTTTCTCTCTCTCTCTTTGACTGATGGCGTAGTAGATTATACAGCATGATCAGACTATTAACGAGCCATATTCTATAGCCTCACTATTTATTAAAAACAGACAAGTCCATGTTTTCTAAGGAAGGCTGGGATTAAATTTGATAATCTCTTATATCTTGACTTTTTTGGAAGGTGTCAAAAAAGAATTTTTTAATTTAATAAGCAATAGCTTCTTTCTTCTTTTTTGGTTTCCTTGGTTTCAAAAGCATGTTTGGCGGAAATAGAAAACTAAGCAGAAGCAACAAGCATGGAAGCAGTAATGAGGTCATAGAAGAGATCGACATGAGCCATGTTAAATATGAAAAGTCAATTCATCATTCAGAGAGAGCACATGGACACAGCAGTCGAGGTAGTGGATCCATATCAACTGGATCAATAGCTGATGTTATAGACGACAAGCCAGCTTTACAAAGAGGATTGAAAGCTCGTCATGTAATAATTTACAATGATACTATCATTGAAAGATCGGTGACATTAATTGCTTGTTTAGTTAACAATGATCTCGCTTGGTGGTACCATTGGTACAGGTCTTTTTCTTGCTTCTGGTGCGTCGGTTGCTAATGCTGGTCCAGGTGGTGCCATCATTGCTTATTCTTTAATCGGTATCATGGTTTTCTTTATGATGGAATGCTTGGGTGAAATGGTATTAAACAAGATAGATATATTTATTATAAACAGAATTAACACCTCACATTAGGCTACTTATTTACCTATTTCCGGCAGTTTTAATAATTATGCTGGTCGCTTTATTGATCCTGCTGTCGGATTTGCTTTAGGTTGGAATTATTGGTATAACTGGGCAGTTACCGTTGCTGTTGAATTGGTAAAAAAAAGAAAACGAATTATATAAAAACACTTAACTAATCATGTCATCATAGACTGCTGGATCTATGGTCATGGCTTATTGGTTGCCTCATATACCTAATTACGTTTGGTCTATTATATTTCTCATCATTATTTTGGCACTCAACTTATTTTCAGTTAAAGGCTATGGTACAAACGAAAAATAAATACAACAATCTCATCCCGTTACTCACTCCTCTTTTATAGGTGAAGCTGAATATTGGTTTGCTTTAATCAAGGTCTTGACAGTTATCGTATTCATCATCCTCGGTATTTTGGTTGATACAGGAGTATTAGGAGGAACATATTATGGTACAAGCGTATTCAACTCGGGCGGGGTTCAAGGCCTTGGCGTCTTGAGTACTTTCTTGACTGCTGGTTTCTCTTTCCAAGGTACTGAATTGATCGGTGTAGCAGCAGGTGAAAGTGAGAACCCTCGAAAGAATGTCCCCCGAGCTATCAAACAAGTGTTTTGGCGTATTCTTTTATTCTATATTCTCTCTATTCTCATCATTGGTCTCATCATTCCATATGACGATCCTTCTCTCTTGGACTCTGATGTCAACAACATTTCTGTTTCTCCATTCACTTTAGTATTTGTCAAGGCTGGTATTCGTCCAGCAGCAGGTAAACAAAAAATAAAAAAAAAGACAACAGTTGAAACTTACTCCTATCGGCATGTAGACGTTATGAATGCTGTCATCTTAACAACAGTGCTATCAGCTGGTAACTCTGGGTTATATGCCTCTAGTCGTACTCTTCTTGACCTTGCCAATGAAGGAAAGGCACCCAAGTTCTTTAGAAAGATCACCAAAAACGGTATTCCTATTTACTGTGTCTTAGTAACAGCTGCTGTCGGTATGCTCGCCTTTTTGACTTCTTTGTTCGGCAATGGTGTTGTCTACTCTTGGTTACTGAATGTTTCAGGTGTTGCTGGTTTTATTGCTTGGCTTGGTATTGCTGCTTCTCACTATAGATTCCGTCGTGCCTATGTTTTACAAGGTTACAAGGTTGAAGATTTGCCCTTCAAGGCTAGATTGTTCCCCATTGGACCTATCTTTGCCTTTTGTGTTTGTCTATTTGTCCTCGTTGGTCAAGGCTACAATTCATGGATGGCTAAGCCTGTTGTTGCTTCAGATATTGTTGCTGCTTATATCGGTATTCCCATCGTCCTCGTCATTTACTTGGGCTACAAGATCACTAAGCGAACCAAGGTTATTCCTCTTGCAGAAGTCGATTTGGTCTCTGGTCGTGAAGCTTTCTTAAGGTAAGAGTTTATTTTTATATTCGTTGTTCAATCAGCATTAAGAAGTATGGACTAACTAGCTATGGTAGACAATCCTATGAAGACGACGACAAGAAGAATGATCCTCTCGAGGGTGTTAGCATCTTTAGACCTGCTACTTGGAAGCGTATTCCCTCTAATTTAAAATCATGGAGAGACGCTATTCACAACTAAACTCTTTTTATGCTATTGTTAATACGCTTACACTACTACTATATTGTTTTAGTATCCTTATTTGTAAATATAGTTTGTAAAATAGAACAAGGTTATAGACAGCATTTATTGCTTCAATTCAATGTCTTTTTCAATAAGCTGTGCAGCAATTGGGTGATAGAATTTCTTGTGCTTCAAATAAGTTTCCTGTGCTAACTTGGCACCATTCTTTGCTCTATAAAGGAATCTATACAGAGGACGAACAAATTTCATACGGCCTTGTTCAGTGATGAATTCGACAACACTAGGATAGATCTTTTCATAACTAGCCATGACGCAAAGTTGTTGCCAGCGGAAACGAACATCAGCGTTGCGAATAGGTGTCATTTGATAAAGTTCATCCATTTTGGCAATAATGTGATGGGGGAAAGGTTCACAGTCTGTTAAGCGTTCCAAAAATACAACTACGGAGAAGAAGAGTTAGAACGATTTTTACTTTAATCTATATATATAACTTACTCTTTTGAGTGGAGGTAAAGTTCTCAACATCCTTGGGAGAGAAAGAACTGAGGTCGTTGGTGTTGCGAGCTTCTTCCCAGCGTTTAGCAAGATCATAGCATGCATCAGCAAGGCTAGTATCAAATTGAGGGTCAACAGGAGGCATACCAGTGCCATTAATCCAGAGATCCCAATTAATCTTGTTCAACCTTTCAACCATTTCTTTACCGTGGTGCTTTTCCATGTATGTGCGAAGATGGGCAATCCAATCCTCGGTTGTGATGGATTTAGAGGCAAACTGCTCGACATGAGCCTTCATGTAAGGCTCAAAGACTTCAGGACCACCAACGACTTTTTCAAGGTGGTAAAGCAAATTGAAACCCTTTTCTATAACGCGTAAATAGTCAGCATGAAAAATCACACAATCACTCTTTTCGTGTCTTACCATAAGGAATAGAACTGAAATAATCATCGGGGTCAATACCACTGCTTAAATCAGGCTTCAAAACAGTAGCAGGTGAGTTTTCGCCAAAGAGTTCAACACTTTCCTTTAATGCTTTCCAACCAATGATGGAGCTGAATTGTCTTTCAGCTTCTCCATGAAGACGGGCTGCGATCTTGCGTTCGACAAATACGGTCCAACCTTCATTTAACCAGAAGTGTTCCCAATTGGCGGTCGTAACCAAGTTACCCATCCAGCTGTGGGCAATTTCATGTGCAACAACGTCGACAGCGCTTCTATCACCTGTTTTAACATCGTTAGTCTTTGTAAATTATATTACTTTGCGCATTGTCTCTCTCTTACCTGCCAAGAGGGTTGGGGTAACAAAGGTCAAACAAGGGTTCTATTACCATTCATTATTAATTGTCTTTTTTGTTCACTATTCTTTAATTACCTCCATACCACCATAGGGAAAAGAAGGTGGCAACACCAAAAGATCATAACGTCCCCATTCATAAGGGGTCAACAGACTTTCACCTGTGGCAATAAATTTTTCTGTATCCTATTCATTTGGTTACATTAGCCCCTTTTTATGTATTATCCTTGTAACACGCAATTTTTACTTCAAATTCCCAGGCTGCTTGTTCAACCATTTCAGGTTCACACCATACTGTGGAACGTGGGCCAATCTCACGGCCAGTCAAGTTGCCAGCAGCAATCGCAATCAAGTAGGAAGGAATGGTCGTGTTTTGCTTAAAGTGATATGTCTTGGTGCCATCCTGGTTATCGTCGCTAGATACTAAGAGAGCTGACATGACGACTTGCAGAGGCGAGGTCACGGATGCTGAATAGGTCAATTTGACAGAAGGAGAGTCCTGCAGAGGAGCAAAGGCACGGGCATGGATCTATATAGAGCGTGTCAGAGTCTATAATATAATCAATATGGTCACATACAGCTTGGCATTGAGAAAACAAATAAGGGTGCTTCTTGCCAACCGTTTGTCTAGCATAAAACACACGTCAGTCTAAAAAAAATATGATTGACAATCTTACTCTGGTTCCAAGTATTGAACAGCTGTACATTTCTCTGTAGTAACATATTCTACTTTGAGTTGAAAAGTAGTGCCTTCGTTTGCAAAGGTTTCAGGAAGGTGAATGGTCAAGGCTGATCCGAGACTAGGGTGTCGTTCAGCAACTTCATACTATATATCCACATGTTAATCAGTTTGCATGTACTCTGCTAACCTACTATACCTTGAGTTCTTGTCCATTCAAGGAGACGCTCTTCAAGTCGAGATAGCTAGTATCCAATACGACCTTGGACACGTTTGGACGTAATGTGACCATATCCAAAAGAACATGTCCACCAATCTTCTTTTCTTCAAATGAGATCTTCCAGTTCAAGTGAACATGTTTAGTTATGACTTCAGTTAGATTGGATAAACTGCTGGGATCTATGACAAGTGCCATTATGATTTATACGTGAAAAAAAATAAAAAAATAAAAAATTTGTCAGCCAATGTTTCCTGTGTCTACAACTTGTTTTCTTTACGGTTAAACTCATTTTCCCCAGTTATTTTTTTTTATTGTATTACTCATGACAAAAGTAAATGATAATAAATGTCATCAGCTTGACAATAACACACTCTTCTTCTTCTTCTTCTTTAGCCTGTTAACCAAAATAAGCTTGAACCTTTTGAAGTTTCGTTTGGAGCTGGTGCTCTTTCAGGTGCATATGATACCATTGAAGGTCATATGCCTATAGAAGCTTGTAGAGAAGCTCTCTTGTCAGGTAAATGATAATAAAAAAGAAGATACTTGGGTTTTTATTCAATAAAGTTAGGTATCAATTCTTTTGATACATCACCTTATTATGGAAAAAGCGAATATATCCTAGGAGACGCGCTTTTTGAACTTCGAAACGAGTTTCCTCGAGACCATTACTATTTAGCGACCAAAGTAGGTCGATATGGTTATACCGTCAAAGAATTTGATTATAGCGCAAAAAGGGTTTATGAGAGTGTAGAGGAAAGTATGAGACGGATGCACACTGACTACTTGGATATCGTCTATTGTCATGATGTTGAATTTGTTGACTTTGAACAGGTGGTTGGACCTAATCAGGCCTTGGAGGCATTGTTCGATTTAAAAAGCAAAGGAAAGATAAAGTATGTTGGATGTTCGGGTATGTTTGAAAAAAAAAGAAAAATATGGAGCGATCTATTTACTTGGGAGATGTAGGTTATCCATTGGAAGTGTTATTAAGAATAGCAGAGCATCAACATAAAAAGGGACAGCCATTAGATATTATTTTATCTTACTGTCATTACAATCTTCAAAATACAAAGTTGGCAGATTATACACCCAAGTTCAGAGAGGCAGGTGTAAAGTATATATTTAATGCATCACCACTTGCTATGGCCTTACTCCGCGATGCTGGGCCACCTGACTGGCATCCTGCCCATGTCGAGCTACGTGAGGCTGCTAGAAAGGCTGCCCAGGTAGCTGCAGATCATGGTTTTAGTATTGCCAACTTGGCTTCTCGATTTGCCTTCCGTGGTCGAGATGTGTTCCATCTGGACGCTACTCTCATAGGTCTTGCCAGAAAATCTGAAGTTCAAGAAGCTATGCGTGCCTGGAAGGAAGCAAAGGAAAGAAAAAACACACTCGAAGAAGACTTGGTTTATGAAAAGATAGAAGAGATATTCAAGCCTTTTAAAAACTATTCATGGCAAAGTCCTAATGATAAAGAACGGGGTTTAGCATAGGAATGTAACATGTTTATTGACAATAAAAAAAAATCAGCCTTAGCGCTGACCGCCGTATCCTCGAATATTCTCTGCAAAGCTCCACTCGGTATCTAATTGATAAGGCTCACTAATATGTAAGCCATTTTCGGTAATCTTTGCTATTTGGTACTATTGTAAAATGTAAATCACGTCATTCTTGTATATTTCGCTTTGTATCTTACCTTGTTTAAGGATCTTGCATCTCGGTAGAATAACACGCGCAAACATTCATTCATAATCTCAACTGCTTCTTCTTCTGTCAATTCGTCTTCTCTGCCTTCAACTCTTCTTCTCAAAATAGGTTGTGCTAAATGTGCACCAAATCCAGTGGCAATGGTTGTTGATTGATAGGTAGTGCCTCTCAAGTCGACATAACCGAGGAATCGTTCGCCCTTGTGGAGACCTCCTACGACTAGGGCATTCCAAAGTGGGTTGAATTTAGATCTTCTGTTGTACATGACTCTCCATAGATATTCATAGATATGGGGTGTGCCTAAAACATGTCCATCATCTGCACAGTGCTCTTTAATCCTACAAAAAAAAAAAAAAATCAATACAATCATATATTTTTGATGGTTGTATTATACATGAGAGAATCCAAAAGATGTTGAATATATTGATAGTCTGAGATATCACCAGATGCACCAACAATCGTGCTTTCGCCGACTGGATATAATCTCTTGATATCACGGAAACGAGCGAGAGATCCGTATGAACCTATTCAGGGTTATTTATGAATTGATTGTACTTTCCTTTCTTTCTTTTTTTCTTACCAAGCATATCTGCGGCCATCATAACACCGTCTCTATATTTAAAGGCAAGAACAGATGTACCTGTTATTAAAGGGTTCCTAATAAAAAGAAGAGTTAGCGTCCTTTCTACTGATGCTTGAATGGTGCAATATAACTTTACTGAGTTCTTGTCATTGGGCCATAAGCTGATTGAGCTAATTGATCTGGAACAGTTTGAGGCATAGGAACAGTACCATAGGCATCAACAGCTTCTGAACGAGGCTTGCCCCAGCGTGAAGGAAAATGATCCATAATGATGTATGTTTTTGACTATAAAAGAAAAAAAAAGGTAAAATTACGAAAGCGTTACGCGCGTCCGCCCTACAACCAAATGAATGACGTCCGCAATGCATTTATCCAATGAAAAAATAAGCTGAGTCTGAGATACTTTGGTTTATTTGTTTTGATGCTTTTTTTAAAAGAAAAAGAAAAAAGAAGCTATTATGTATTGAGTATGTGTTTAATCCTTCAAATCATCGACTTGGAAAACCATAGCATCGTCCTTTCTCAAGCGTTCTATGAGGGTTTGACCAAAGGCAGTTGAAGGTGTCAAAACACCACCGTCTTTGCCAGGTAGTTCATTGAAGCTCTTGGTAATACAAAGGGCAGCCTCTACTAACATGCGTGGAGTATCACCGTAACCAGGGTCGCTGAAGCCTAAGATAATCTAGGTTAAAGGAAGCTATGTTGGATAAAAAATCAATTATTATTGACCTTTGACAATAGCCTTGGCGCGCACAGAGTCTTCATAAGGCTCTGATTCAGCAGATCCAACAAGCTGGAGCTCAAAGTGACCTAACTTCCTTGTCTCTCCTCTAGGGCCATAGCCAGGCCCAGGCAAGAGCGCCTTTACCTTTTCACCAATAATTGGTGCTCTGATCAAAAGAACAGCCACCGGAACAATGGTGTAGAGGAAGCAAGTGAACAAAACGGCGGGGATGAAGCTAAGACTCATGTATTCCCTATTTGATCCATCATTGTTAAAGTTGATCCTTGACCTACATTGTATACATTTACCTGTAACTAAACATGTTTCCATATGCCTGTCCACGATCGGCCCAGATAGACCAACTTCTTCGAACTACTTTTTCGTTGGTAACAGACATGAAAAAGAAGGTCTGCCACTTGTTATCAAAATCACGATCTTTGTAGAGCGTCGGTAACGCGGGTTTATCAATACCCTTTCGAGTAGCCAGCAAATAAGGATCACCGTGTCCCTCCATCCTTTGGGTAGCAGCCTCAATAAAAGAATGAATCGTTCCGCCCGAAACACCTCCGGCAAGTTTGGTCATGGAGGCCTTGACAGTGCCCAAGTTCAAGTTATGCTTTGAATGAATGTGGTTTGCCAACATCCAGACACCCAGATCACTTGGCACAGAATCAAATCCACAGCAGGGAACAATCATGATCTTTTCCTGTTTTGCCTTTTCATCAAATTGATCAATAATCTGTTTTACCCAAGAATACTCTCCTGTAATGTCGACATAATGGGTCTTTTGGCGAATACAGGCTTCGACCAGTGGCGTACCATACTTGATGTAGGGCCCTAAGACGGTGTTACATCACGTGTAACTTTCCTTTTTGTGATTTCTTTTCTTACCAACTGTGCTTATTGCCACTCGTGTTTGAGATACAACATTGTCAAGGGTTTCAGGTTGTTGGGTGTCTGCAATGAGCAAGTCGATTTTCTATGCAATTCTTTAATATTATTATAGATACATCAATTTGATTGCTTACTTGTAATGAAGGATCTGTTTCAACCAAGTGATCACGTACTTTTTCCAATTTGACAAGACTACGACCTGCTATAGCCCAGTTTATAGACTATTTAAAATTTAATAAACAAGATGATGTAGATGATAATTTTACTTTATCGAGTCTTTCAGCGAGATATTCTGCAGTAAGTTCACCCGTATAACCAGTAGCACCAAAAATGACTGATATAAATGATAGTTAGTCTATAAAGGAGAAAAAGAAAGCATCTCTTGATGTTACTAATATCGTATTTTCTCTTTTGGTAATCAGTCATTATTACGCGTCAAAATATATATAAAGTATGAAAAAAAAAAAGAAAAGAAAAAAAAAAAGAGTAAAATAATCAGTTTATGGTAAACATGGTTTCAATTATTGCTTATGTCATAATGAACTATGGAATCATCTCCATCATGGTGACACCCTCTTTCTGGATTGGATTTACGCTTGCATTAATCTTAATTTTTGGCATGCAACCTTTAAATTCAGATAAAATTGAATTCTTGCGCAACTTTGACGATCTTTTATTGTAATAAAATCACTGTTTGTTACTGAAAATGATTCATTTATTTTTTAATACAATCAAAACTGTGAGTCCAGACTGTACTGGTCTCCCTTTTGGGTTTGATATTTTGTATTGTGGTTAAATATATTTGAGTGATCATTATTATGGTTGTGTGAACTACTGGCTGTACTTGATGTCACTGTCGTAGCTAGACATGCCTCTTCTTCATCTTGTTGTCTTCTATGTTCAGTATTGTTATTATTATTATTACTATTGTCCAATCCGGATTGCCAATAGAGCATTCGTGTCATGAATGGAGTATGACATGCATTGTGTCCAAGGGCAGGATAATATTGTCTATAGGCAAAATAAGCACAGACCGTACCTAACAATGCACCTATAAAGACATCATGCCAATGGTGACGATAATCCTCTGTTCGAGAAATGGCTACTAGAGCAGCACCAATAAAAGGAAATATGCAGCAAAATCCTTTATAGGTGTGCTATTTTATACATATATTAGTTAATCTTTTTACATGAGTGATACAATATCACTTACACCCTTCTCATCAAATAGCCTTAACTTGCCGGCCATGTAAAAAGAAAGATAACCTAAACCGGCAAATGAGACTATTGTGATATAATTAGTAAAAAAAACTTTGCTCCTTTTTTTTCCTTCTCTTCTTTACATGACGAATGTCCGCTTGGGAAACTTTTAAATCCATCAATCATTATATGTGAATGAATATCAGTTGTACAAATATCTACGGTAGATAGACCCAATGGAGGATCCTCGGTGTCCAATGCTGGCTTACATCTCGAAAGCATATCAGGCCTTGGTCGTCCAGCTGTAATCTATACAATTGTTGTCAATAAATGTATATGCATGTATGGTGCTATTTACTTTACTTTGATTACATCTGTCAACATAATTGTCATGGATAACCCTAAGCATAAACCTAATATATATATCCTTTATTAGTAAAAAAAAAAAAAAGGAAAAAGGGGATGTATATACCTAACACTCCTGCATGAAAATCATATATATTTCTTTTGTATCCTAATCCACTTAATGTTATTCCTCCAATAATAGCAAATGGTATAACAAAACATATGACCTATATAAACAAAGGTTAATAGTGAGAAATTAAATTTTGATAGACGTATTACCAATAATAACCAAACGGGTACTCTTTCGTGTTCAGCATACGGAAACATAATTGTTTTGTCATGAATTGAAAATTGTCGATGAAATGGTGTAATATTATCAATAGCAAAAAATACAACTGTCATTATGATGACAAGTATCCAGTCAAAAAGATAAGAAAGTGTTATGCGCCGCTTTATAGGATCTTTAAGCATTTTTTTCTCCTTTTTTTTCTCTCGTTTTTGTTTAAGTAAAAAAATAAAATAAAAAAAAGAAAGAAAGGAAAAGAAAGGAAAAGGGGGAATAAGGAAATGAATTTGTGTCTCAAGCGATTAGTCAATTAAAATCCAGAAGATCAAGACAGTTTTGGCTGTGGCGGAGGATGCAGTAATTCGCCGATTGGGATCTACAATTTCTGGATCATGGCTGGGTAACGAAGAGGGAATGATGAGCATACAAGGCAAGCAACAGCCACTACAGCAGAGCATGATGCCCTTTTGATAACACAAGCGTATTTAGTCATTAGTTCACAAATAAATAGACTGGGTTTGCTATAGGAGAACCTTACCATAATAATAAAAATAGGAATAAGGATGACGATAAGCCTGATTTGGACCATGCCTTTTAACCTGGCGATGATAAGCCCGAGCACGGTGTAGAATAAGGTTGCCAAGAGACAATATAAAATAGTGGCAGCAAAGACCAATGATTTTGCTTGCTGAGCTAATTCTTGATTTCCTATCCTTGAAAAGTATCTATACTGTCCCCATAGCTTCAAGAAGTAAAATAAGCCTAAAAGGTAGGTGGGTATGAAGACGATGACCCAGTTCTTGTGATAGAGCACAATGCAAGTCAACTGGATCAGCATGACTAGCCTTGTTACCCATCCTGACTTTCCATTAAACAGGCTGTGAATGGCTTCGAAACCATAATAAGGCGCAAGTATGCACGGCAAATAGACAGGGTTACCATCCAGGTAGAGAACAATCAGTACTTGGAATAGTATGATCAAGACACATTCTACAAGGGGTATACATCTGCCTATGAGGCTCTTCTTGTATCGTCCCTCATTCAACAACAGTTCTTCTTCGTTTTCTTCTCCTTCATTCTCATCTTCGTTAGCATGATCGGAAAATAAAGCCGTATGTAATCGAAGTCAATGTTTCTCTCTTTGAAGAATTAAAAGTAAGGCCGTTTCCCTTTCCGTTTTTCATTATTCTCTGTACACTTTACCTTATTTGGTAAGTGCGCCTCTACTGCATTAAACATATAGACATAACACCTTTATATCCCACAGCAACTAAGTGGTTGGCCAATAAAGTATTTGGCATTTGTAAATAAAGCAACTATGCTACATCATCCTATATTAAAGAATAACCATTTTGGATACTGGCGGAATTTTTCGATATTCTCTTTCATGCGCCACACACAGTATAATGACCTCCGCTGAGCCCTTTAGCTCAAAGAAGTACTCACTTGTCCAGTAATATCACGAGTGGGAATTCCAAGAACTCCATAATACAAATACAGATTTAAAATACAGAATGATTTGACTTTAAGAACTTTCACAAGCTAAAGAAGGAATAAAGTATTTTCACCTACGATTAGATTGCCACTCGCTTCTAAAAATAAGCACGTTTTCTTCATCAGCGGTTACCGTTATGCAACCTTCAGTCTCTTGAAAAACTCTAATAATCGTCAAGGCTGTCGCGTTCAGAAATAAGCATCCACTTTACACCACCTACGTCCCTTAAACAAGCAAGTATTTCCATATACACTTCTTCCGGAAAGTAAATTCACCCAAAGGCAAGAACAAAATTCATGTTGTACGAAAAATAAATTCGCCCAGAAGGAAAATCAATTCACTTGATGACAGGAACAAATTTCGTGTTGTACGAGATATAAGCTTGTAAAATATTCAGTTGCCTTGCTACAAATGTAAATCAACAACAGCAACGAAGCAAATGTTCACAGTTTATTTCTAGGTACTGAACTTTGTTTACGTCGGTCCCAAAGACATTTTCGCTGCATTTGCTCTGACAATAAAACGCTTGACTCGATCAATGGATTCCAAAAACATATTCAGAGCGGCAAAAAATGCCCCTCGATACAGACCGTCAAATTTTGTATGTTTTAATGTCATGGTTCAAAATCATATGCAAACTTTTTGTAGAAAATTGTGTTGACTTCTTTATTTTGAAAATGTAGATGGTGAAAAATTCCCACTGAATGATGGTAAGATGTACTTCCCTCGCATGATTTTCCTGCTTGTGGATCCATAAAGCCAGCTTGCGAATCCGTCAGCAAAGCCTACAAATTCATGTAGTCAGCTTGCGAATTGATGAACACTGCAACACATCACAACTTACGTTTGACACACACATTCGCTTGTTGAGCATTTGAAAACTTTTTTTTTTTTATCGATCTTTGTCCCTTCAGCATATGATTTTACCTCACGTCTGTCTTTCTTCCGGTCATTTTTGCGGAAAGCTATTCGTGAATCTCACAATAAACACCAAGGACACTGTCTTTTTTTTTTCTTTACCATTGTCGAAGCTACTTTCTACATCATCGTCATGTATGTATGTTTTTCTTTTAATACATGAGCACATAGATGCTTTTCAATTGTATGAAGAACAGCTGGTCACTATCATACAACTTTAATAGGGACATGTTCAAAAGAGCGCCGATGATTTATTGCTCAAAAGAAAATTAGGAAGAGAAAATTGACTTCACGGTTACAGCAATAGATTCATTTGCCTTAGCAATTTGTGGGGCAAGCGATCTTGCAATTTTTTGTAACATATGATTCAATTCAGTGTTATCAATGATCACGATGCTATCATCATTGTTAAAAAGAGTAATGATTTCGTTGTTACATTTGTCCATGTTGATCCCTCTGGGGATCTTTGATTTCAGCAAGTCAACAACGTCTTTGCACAAGACGCCGCGGCCAGTGATCATATTGCTTGCAATTGTTTGAAGCAGTAGAGATCCAACGCGGTATCCAAAGCCGTTATTTCCATTATCTCATTCGCATTGCGTGAAGACCGCGTATAGTCGCGTTGAAATGTCATCAGTTGGTTCGTTGAATCCTCGACAAGCGAAGTAAGTTGATTGTTAATGGAAGCGGGTGCGAAGCTGTCGAAATTGAAAGATCACATCGTAACTGGAAATTTTGTTGGTACGTTCGCATTTAGCGATATGTTGCGCACTCTCTCAAGCAGATTTCTTTACAAAAATTTTCGTGGCAAACGATCTTTCGTATGCATTTAAGATGAAGTTGGAAGTGACTGGGCCAATTTCAGATTTGATATCAATATCGATACGTAGGCTTGATGTAACAAGCGCGTTGAAAATTTTGGTGCCAAAGATCAATTTGATGCCATTGACATCACTATACGATATCGGCTACACATTTCGGTATCTTGTTGTTTCAGGGGGCAATGATGTTGATGATACAGCCTCCTTTTTCATCCGAAAGCTCTCCCTATGCGTCAAGCGACCTTCGTCGACCAAAAACCTCAACAGAGTTGACAATAACGGACTTGCCAGTTGATGTGTTCAATAGGATTATCCCTGCCAACAAACGACTGCATGCATAACGCATTTGGGGGAACATCGACCAATCTTCATTGAGGAACCTTGCCATCCCATCATCAAGCTCTTCATATTGTTGGTTGAGCAGCCTTTTCGCATATGGACCACAGATAAGAGTACTATATAAAAATACTTCCATACATGTCGTGATAACGTCTGGATCAATTTTTCTTTTCTTTGGTGGTGTTGCTGTCATAGTGATGGTCGACTCATGCAATGGTTGCAAGTGATCTTGGTATGTCAATGCATTGCATTCCATGTTTTCATTCGAGTTGTTAATGAGATATGACGAAGAAAATAAGAATCAATAATTGTCAGAAGTCGCGTTTGCTCTTCAGATCGCCAATCCATTGCACGGCAGGCATGCAGCACTGCATGGTCATAATCCCGTCTTGCTTCTTTGATGGCTGACCAATCGTTTTCGATGACGTGGGGGTAGTCATAGGTAGGCGTTATCGTGGATACCATCATCTAATGTGGTTCTAGCTCTTCATCGCAGATGTGATTATGGTCGTTCCTATCATCTCCTGCCAAAAGAGAAAAATAATCAGCTCATTTCGAAGTGGAGGGAAGTACGTCTTACCATCATTCAGTGGGAATTTTTCACCATCTACATTTTCAAAATAAAGAAGTCAACACAATTTTCTACAAAAAGTTTGCATATGATTTTGAACCATGACATTAAAACATACAAAATTTGACGGTCTGTATCGAGGGGCATTTTTTGCCGCTCTGAATATGTTTTTGGAATCCATTGATCGAGTCAAGCGTTTTATTGTCAGAGCAAATGCAGCGAAAATGTCTTTGGGACCGACGTAAACAAAGTTCAGTACCTAGAAATAAACTGTGAACATTTGCTTCGTTGCTGTTGTTGATTTACATTTGTAGCAAGGCAACTGAATATTCGCCAAAAAAAAAAAGTGAGTGTGGTCATAGCAAAGGAATAACTACGTACCTTGCGCCCAAAGTCCACAGACTCGTGGTTGTTCGATCCCATACTCGACCAGAGCATCTATCATTCGTTTCATAGCCTTGGCCAGTTTGTGCAGATCGAAAATAGCATTTAAGGAAGGGGAGCACTACATGCACGAGGAAATCCACCAGGAGTTAGACTAATACTACAGGCGCCGCCTCTACTCATTACCTATGATATCGTCCAACAAAACTTTTCAATCTGCAGTGTCAAACTAAACATGACTTTTATAAAGTCGCCATATTGGTTTGTTTCTTTTCAGAAAGAAGAGGGGATGATGGATTTTTTTATTTTTTATTCTAATTTTATGTTGTCAGTTTGGTCAACAAAGAACTAAGATCAATTCAAATGTATTTTACATTAAAGGAAATCCCACTGATGTAAAAACTGACGCTCAATGTTCTTATGAGGAGAGCTTATGTCAAGCGTAATCATACACTATACATGGATAAACTGAAATTCTTAAAGCTAGCGTCTTGAAGAGTGTCCGAGTATTCTTGACGCTGCAAAAAAAAAAAGGAGAATCCACGCTCGTACGGCTGCAAATATGGAACCAAGCGGTACAAGGGAAGCCCTTTTAACACTTTTGAGAAACGTAGGAAAACTGGTCGCCCACATGTTCTCCAGGAAGAACATAAAGGCTATTCCAGATTATATCTATGAGAACTTGCCAGCCGTCTTAGGACAGGTGACGGAACAACTGAGGTGGACATTCACAAGATCGAAAATATTTAAGAGCACTGCGCATGATTTTGCAAGAAAAAAAAAAAAAGCTTAGTTTTGCTCTGCAGACACACACACACAGCAAAGAAAAAAGCCAAAGAGCTTCTGACTGAGAGTCGTAAGCGAGAGAAAACTGGACTGAAATTTACGAGAAACTGCGTCTCGATGATCTTCCTTTCATGCTAGTATGAAACGTAGTATGTCCTGATCAAAGAAAGAGGTCACCCAGAACACAAGCACAGACGAACTACCAACTTGGATGCGATTCCTGTTGTAGGGTTTATTAAATGCAGCTCGAGGCTTTCGGCATCTATTAGCTAGTAAAAAGAGTAAGCGTAATAATATTGAGTAAATAAGTAATGGAAGGGTAATAGTAAAACATTGTATAGGTTTTCTGAAATTTACTCCGATGAAATGAAGTAGTACTCGTATTTGAAAGGCCACGACTTTGTAAAAGATAATTTGGATGATACTGCTTTATTAAAAATAAATTTCAGAAAGAGGATGAAATTATGGCGTGTATGAAAAAAAAAAAAAAAATAATTGGCGCATATTAAAAAAAGTATTTATGCAAAGGTTAAAAATAAAATGCGTGCAAAAGGAGACGACATACAAATGAAAATAATAAGTACCGAAGGCATCTAGATATGTCCTAGCGATAACTAGGACGAAGAATCATCGTCTAAATGTATTCTAGTTCTTGGTTGCTCCTGATCGTCCATTCTTCTTCGACACCTTGTAGGAGCAACAGCAAGTTCCGCCAGGATAACCTCAATCACAAGCGCGCAACGCACGCCTCTGTTCTTACGCACTTCATCGATAAAAATGCATTTTCTTTTTCTTTTTTTTTCTCACTTGGTGACAATATCATGTCAAAGACCAAGTATCCGCTCTGGACCCCTCTCAATATTATATTTGGATACTTCTTTCAAAGTAAAGAAACATTGCTCTGTTAAATGCTTCCATACGTCTCTTGAAAAGTGTCTAATAGTGGCTCTGAAAAGGTTTACAAAAGAAATTTATTGTGTTTCATTTGAATTAAGATGAACTCTTACAATCGTCTCGCTGTAATTTGGCAGTCTAGTGCTGAGCGAAAGTAATGGTGGCTGATACTAGGAGACCGTTCAGTATAGTATTGAAAGGCGGAAGACGGTTGATTCATATGGACAAGGCAAGAGATCAATACGCTAAATGTGTTTTTTGGCTTTGAACGCAAAATCAAAATGAAGAGCAGCGTCCTCAGAGTCAAAAGATAAAAAGGTGTTATATGCTGCTTAATAACGTCTTTAATCATTTTCTCTTGTTTTGTTTGTAAAGTAAAAAAAGGTAACAGGTAAGGTAAAAGGTAAAAGGTAAAAAGGAATTAAGAAGATAAGTATCAAGTTACGACAGCTTTGGCTGTGGCGGAGGATGCAGTAATTCGCCGATTGGGATCTACAATTTCTGGATCATGGCTGGGTAACGAAGAGGGAATGATGAGCATACAAGGCAAGCAACAGCCACTACAGCAGAGCATGATGCCCTTTTGATAACACAAGCGTATTTAGTCATTAGTTCACAAATAAATAGACTGGGTTTGCTATAGGAGAACCTTACCATAATAATAAAAATAGGAATAAGGATGACGATAAGCCTGATTTGGACCATGCCTTTTAACCTGGCGATGATAAGCCCGAGCACGGTGTAGAATAAGGTTGCCAAGAGACAATATAAAATAGTGGCAGCAAAGACCAATGATTTTGCTTGCTGAGCTAATTCTTGATTTCCTATCCTTGAAAAGTATCTATACTGTCCCCATAGCTTCAAGAAGTAAAATAAGCCTAAAAGGTAGGTGGGTATGAAGACGATGACCCAGTTCTTGTGATAGAGCACAATGCAAGTCAACTGGATCAGCATGACTAGCCTTGTTACCCATCCTGACTTTCCATTAAACAGGCTGTGAATGGCTTCGAAACCATAATAAGGCGCAAGTATGCACGGCAAATAGACAGGGTTACCATCCAGGTAGAGAACAATCAGTACTTGGAATAGTATGATCAAGACACATTCTACAAGGGGTATACATCTGCCTATGAGGCTCTTCTTGTATCGTCCCTCATTCAACAACAGTTCTTCTTCGTTTTCTTCTCCTTCATTCTCATCTTCGTTAGCATGATCGGAATGCTTATTCATAGAATTGCTATTTCTGAAATAATGCAGGGCCATCCATAATATAAGACAATCAATAATCCACAAAGGTATAAACACAACACTCCATGGCCAACTGACTGAGCTATCAACCTTTAGACAGATAAAGACGAGCCAAAATATAATGCAAACAAAAACAAGGGATAGGATGCAGAAAAACGTCAATATGACAGCCTCTACTTCTGGATCTAAAAGTATAGCACCTGGTCCCATCGTATCTATCATGTTCACACCGGCCATGCCGTATCGGTCGTATATGCGTCGCTTTTTGGGATCTGACAAGATCTACACGTAGTTTATAAGTATGTGTTGAGCTGCTAGGAGCAGTCGTTTACATTATAAGCTTGATTGACATTTCGAAACTATTGGTTGACATTAAGTAAAATGTAGTAAAGTAAATATATAATCGCATTACTTGTTCTTCACATTGTGGGTTCTTGTCTGGATGATAACGTAAAGCTAACCTTCGATAGCTTTTCTTGATCTCTTCCAATGTTGCATCTTCTCCAACATTCAAAACTGCATATACATTCATATTAAATTCGCTTTCGTACTTAATAAAAATTGAAGTCAAAATTGTGTATTTTACTTTTATAAATTTGTTTATTTCTCAATATTTTGTGAAGTATCTATGTCAGCTGAAAGTGTACCAACTAACGGAAGTGGCCTTTATCAGCTTCGCGAAGGAAGAAAGTACTGGGGTATTTTTTTACCGTAGAAAAGTGGGACATTCGTATGACGACATTGCAAACATAGTCGAAATGCCAAAGTCAACAGTACAAAGCACTATTGATAGAATAAAGAAGACTGGATCGCCTTTACCAACCAAGCAAAAAGGTAGAATCTATAAAATCAATAAGAGATCCCAGAGACTGCTCACGAGGACGATAGGAGATGTTCCATTCGTAATATACGACCGTCTGCGATTAGAACTGTATAACGTCGATGTAAATGTCTGTAGACAAACTGTTATCAGCAGTTTGAAGAGAATGGAGCATGGTTCTGTTACGTATGATAATACTTCGAGTATCGTCGCGTGAAATTTAGTTTGAGTTCAGCTTTATTGTTCTTTAAATCATTCATTGTTACACACATCATGTGGCAAGATATAGATAATCGTTTATCATTACTTAAATAAAGACACCTTTCTTTATCATAAGAAATTTCAACTTTTATTACAAAAACACTAGAAGTTCGAACCGCTTCTATTTTCACATTCACATAAGAAATTACTCTATCAGTTCTTACTTTGCTGCTCATAAACCATCATTGACTGAAGAGCAAATGAAGAAATGACTTCGCTGAGCCCATGACATGTCGACTGGACGGATGAACAGTGGTCTAGTGTAATTTGGAACGATGAATCTCGGTTTACCGTTATCGGTAGCGATGGTGGCGCCAGACCCGCCAGAAAGCTTAGTAAACGATATGACCTTAAGCATACTGTACCAACAAAGAAGTATGGAGGCGGTGGAGTCATGGTTTGGAACTGCTTTCATGCAAATGATTTAGGTCCTTTGGTCTTGGCTGACGGCACAATTGATCAAGATAAATATATGAATATTTTAGCCAAAAACTTCCATCCCTGGTTCCCGCAGCTCTGCCAGAAAGAGGAAAAGAACTTTACATTCCAAGAGGATGAAGCTAGCTGCCTCAATTTGTGGCTATGCGCCATGGTGGAAGAAACCCCACTATATCAGGGGCTTTAAGTACTGGTCTGCACAAAGCCCTGATTTGAATCCGATAGAGCATGTTTGGGCCGCTTTGGGTAACCTTATCAAGGAAAGGAGAAGTGAGATAAGAAACACGGAAAGAGTTGAGTGCCGTGCTGAGAGAAGAGTAAAAGAAAATAAATCCTGGATTGGCGGCATGTTTGGTCGGAAGTATAAGGCTCGATATGAGGCGGCAATTGCCGAAAAAAGAGGGTCGACAAAGCATTGATTTTTCTTTTTATTTTATATTCTTTAAATATACATGTCAAAGTTTGTTTTTTATAAATATGGAGTCTTCAAGCACTGAACAGGAAGAGCAATGGCTTTCCAAACATTTGATACATAATTTCCGAAAGTTTAATTTACATTTGGTATGAAACCGAATTATGTGTGACTGTGGTAGTCCATTCTCTACCAGATCATATGCTGGTTCAAAGCTGATGGTACGTGGCTTATAAATAAATAGAACTTGGCCTTTATGCCCCTACAAAAAAAAAAAGAGAAGAGGAAGCGGTTATGCTTTATAATGCTCATATAAAAACGTTGACTCTTTTGTACTTTCTAAGGTATTTGCTGACTATACATGATCTCGTGTATGAAATAGTTATTTTACTACTTTCTATCTTTTTGCTTCTTGCCCGTGATACTTGTTAAACAGATCGTTTATGAAGTGAAGTTGGATGAGCCCTTTTGTAATACTTTATTTTAAACACGCTTCTGCCTTTTGACTACTTGGTTAGAAATAGAGGGCTTCTAAACCTTTTGTGCCTTAATTATCATACAGATAAAAAATGATATATAGTCTAAATCTCTACCAACACAAGTATGTGCATCACATTCGATAAGGTGTAATGAATCAACTTATGTCAATAAAAAAAGTACAAATTGTCAACAGTTAAAATGAAGGAAATATTTTTTATAATATACCATAATATTTACTAAGGTATAGAGAGTACAAAGAATATTTTAAACTGAATGACAAAACAAGCAAAAGTAATGAAAAAACGTGTGCACCTTTGCTCTTTAATTTATGAAAGGCATGTATACAATGCTGTAGATGATACATCATCTGGTCAGATATGCTATTGCCAAATTAGGATGTCTATTTAGTTTGCGCCTTATGCAGGCTGACTACCTGCTTAATGTACCCATTATGCATGAAGAACCTTTACTTGTAAACCCACAGAATGACCCAGCTTCCATGCATGCACATAATCACACTGTTATTTCGATGCAGTAAGAAGCATTTATAAGGATGAAGAATAACATACTTAGCGCGCCATTTGATGATGAAAAGTAAAATATGGTTGACGACTGTATATCAATAATAAATGTACATCATTGTGCTTTACAAGATAATGCTATTTTATACGTGCAATATATTGACATCAAATAACATTTTAAAGATGTTCTCAGCAGCAATATATATCAAGAAAGTTTTTAAAATATTTATGTAACAAAGAAAACAGCGCCTCATGTAATAAAGGAAGTGCTTCGAAATGTGAGTAATGACTGCTGGTATCGAGTGTTGTTTTGGTATATATAATTGAGATGAATGACTTGATTTACGTACTATAAAATACTATGAAAGGTAAAAGAATGAATAGACAGAAAAAACGAGGAAAGCCTTTTTTTTTACTTGTATTGAATAAAGAAAATATCAGAAAAATAGCTGAAATTACTCGCGTTGCCTTTGCCCATTACCACCAATACTCTTCTTTTGTTAATAAATTAGACAGTAAACGAGGCTTCTGCTTTTTTTTTTAAAAAAAAAAAAATAGGAAATGTGAAAAAAAATTAAGGAATTTCATTTTTGACTCACTACTAAATATTATGTCGTTATATCAAAAACAAGAGATTAGTATTGTGTTTACTTGGGCCTATACATGTATATATGCTTTGCATTATTGAAAGAGGCTCAATTAATCAAATGTATAAACTTAAAGATGCCTAATGCTCAAAGAAATGGAGAATAATAGTAAAAATTCTTGTTTTATATAAATGACGATGGTTTTTATTTATCTTGCTTTCAATTGCACAAAATCAAGTGCAATTTGTCTTTTAAGCTAGTAAATCAAGAGTATTTTTATAAATGATTTATGCAATTATTAGTGATTTGTAAAATGATTTTTTTAAGAAGTAATAATAATGATAGGTATAGCCATTGTACCCTATAAGGACAAAATGAAACGCTACTTTTGCGAGTATAATATCTGAGCTAGTGCAGGCACAAAAGTAATATTTTTTTTATAAGAAAATATAGATACACAAGCATGCTACTTTTATATCAAAAGCATAGATAAATAAGGCTATGGGACTTTTATATTTAATAAATTAACGATGTCAATGAGGATAACTACTATATCTAATTTTTGCTTCTTTGATGCGGACGTGCCCGAATCTAAGAAATAGCACGTATAGCTGCTATATTTATGGTTAATCATAATTGACAATAGATCATGCAAGACTGTATTTATGTATTTACTCAATATAAAGTAAAACAAACAAGTAATGATCATATTTCCATGCCAAAGCTTTATATTTGCAGATTTTGTACCATTTTACTGACTCGGAACAAATGAATAAGTGATGAATGACTTGACATGTTTATACATAAATAGAACGATGACAAATATTGTTGAATAAGGGTATATGCATTGTAGATAAATGAGTGACCATATTAATTAGGTCTTTGTTGTCCGCGTAACATGATGGCTACTTTGCATAGTTATGCACCATAGAAAGAGGAAAGATATTAAATATTCCTAAAAACCATCAACTCGGTAACATTCTAGAACTATTTCTGGATATTGAAAGCATGGTCAGCTCCGAGCTTCATTTATTGTTGCATAAAACCATTTGAGGTATCACAATTTTCTACACTTTTGCTGCAAAAACAGTCTTATTTTGGCAAGATTATTTCATAGTTCCCATGGAAACAAATTACCAAAAATCTACGACATCATCAACATGTCATTTTCATTTTAATTTGAAAATGTGTTGTAAAAATTAAAAAACTCCTTATAATTAAATGATCTTTCAGAACAGCTGTGCAGATGCAATGATGTGCAACAAGAATAGGCGTCATTTCAATGCCAGATATAGGACTGCTTTCAGTTCAGGGCATAATTTCAACATTTCAGCAAATAATTTCCAAAGATGGATAATGCGTAATACAATACTGAAGAAAAATAAAGCTTCTTGGTTATCAAATTTAAGTTTGTTTTATCTTATCTTTTCTTTCTTCTTACTTATCTTTTTCTCTCTTTCTTTTCTTTATGAATAAAGTGCTTGATAAAGAAGAGTGTCGTAACTGTCAAAAGACGATGATACGATGCTACAACTGTGATGTGACGACGACTCCACTTTGGAGAAGAGACGATGACGGAAACACCATTTGTAATGCCTGTGGACTTTATTACAAGCTACATAATGTACATCGTCCACTTTCTTTAAAGAGAAATGTTATTCACAGACGAAAGCGTGTACAAATGTTACAGCATAGAAAGATACCAGAGGAACAAATGCATGTGTTTCATTCCCAGCAAACAAGACTTGAACCAAAACATGCGATACCTAGTGAGGATACTAATCCTTGTAAATTGTCCCCTATACAACAAAATAAAGATATGCCTCCTTCATTACCTCATCTTCATACACTTATCAGCACTCTAGTTAAATCAGAAATACAGCAAGAACAACATGAGAATCCATCAATTTCACCACTTACAAACATGCTCCTGCTTGAACCTAATCGTTTCCGTCAAATATTGACCAACAGGCGTGATGAACTCCAAACAGAGATCAACAGTATTAATCAACTTTTATCACAATCCACACTATTGGACACAGTTCAACATAACAATACAATCATGTCATCTGCGAAGGAGCAAAAGCGATCGTCTTCTCAAAGCACAGGCTTATTTGATTCTTTGTTGCATGCTATAGAATTAAGCAATCATCAACCAGATGTATTTTTATCACACAAGAGGAATTCTATCAATAAAGACGAAAGGAACACAATATCATAACACAATGTTATCTATTTTCCCACCTCTATTTTTTATGTGAGCTTGCATAAACTACATCTTGGCAGCATAGTAAAAAATAAACAGATATGACTCTCTTTCAGAGTAATCCTATTGAAAGATGTGTCTCTCTTTTTTGAACACATTTGATTCATTGACAAAGATCATGTCTTCTCTTTTGTATATATATATATATGTGTGTGTGTCTATCTATCTTTATGAGAAAGTAAAATTTATTGTTTTCTGCATCTAAATTGGTATGCCAAGCTATGAGAGACTTCTATTGACTGAGCGACGTAATTGACCATCTGCTGTATTTGCTGTACTATCACCTTTTCCACTTGATGTTACTGAATTGTCCTTTGTGTATTCTTTCAATCGATTAAGCGTATAATTTTTGGAAAATAAATAAGAACCAAGGGCAACTGCATTAAAAATGTTAATAAAGGACACTTTACTGTATTCATTATTTTACCAGCAGATAATGCAACCCTGGTAAATAAATCAGTAAAGTGAGTACAGATACAACAATAAAATAACTTTTTTACCATCCTTTCATTATAGATTTGGGTGTGTTCTTCATTTTGAGAATGAAGAAAAAAAAAGAGAGAGAAAAAGGTGAGCTGACTTTTTTTTTAAAAAAAAGAAAGTAGGCACTAAGCCATTGTTTGTTATGCATACAATGACAACTAATGATAACATTTTACTTTATGCAAGTCTTTGGGCCCTTCAACATCTTATGCATCATTACCTTATTTTTGTATATACATCACCCTTTCTTTCCCTCTTTTTTTTTCAGTTGTTTGATGATTTCCCCTTTGCCTTTGTTTAAAATCATGAAGCAATGTTCAAGCAAGGCAAAATAAAGATTGCTCTTTTTTTGTTCATAAATCTCTTTTGAAATAGATGATTACAGTAGAATCCTAATTTAGGAATCAAACATTGTCGTCTCTTTTTTTTTTTTTTTCCCTTCTTAAAGTCTAAATCCGTAAGTGACCTGTTTCCTTTGATAAAATCAACATAACTCATACATCTTTTAAAGAATATACATCAACGTCATCGTCTTTTTCTATTTGTGTCTTTGTCCTTCTCTCTTTGTCTCTCTTTTTCTCTCTCGTTTTCTTTTTTTGCTAAACTGAATAATGACATGTGATACAAATATTTCTTCTTCCGAACTAACTTATCTTTCTCTTTTTTTAATTTTTTTATATTTTCCTTAGCTTCATCATGAACGACGGACGTTCTCCTTCTTTAATCTCTTTGGGAATAAACACACAGACAATATTCAGTGGAAGTTCAGTATCATCTAATTCACCTTTAAATTCGCCTTTATTATCCCCAGCAGGCTCGCCATTTCCAATGGATCCTTCTTGGGATCAGCTACAAAGTCAATTCAGTCAACAAATGTCACTTCATCCACCTCCACCTCCACTCTCAACTACTGTACCTATTACAAATAAATCTGGAAGTAATAATACATTTGTACATAAACTATACAAGTAAACAAGCTTATATATATTCGTATACACACTTTATTAAGTATATTATTCATTCTAGTATGGTTGTCGATAAACAGTATCAACACTTGATCGCTTGGACATATACGGGTACTTCATTCATTGTCTGTAATATTACTGAATTTTCAAGAGAAGTACTACCAAAACACTTTAAACATAACAATTTCAGTAGTTTTGTTCGGCAACTCAACATGTAAGAACCCTTTTTATATAGAAAAGAGTGAGTGATTGATACTTTATATAGGTATGGGTTTCATAAAGTAAATAAATCACCTAGAGGACATCGCACATTAGCCGAAAATCAAATTTGGGAGTTTTCTCATGCGAAATTTATCAGAAATAGACCAGACTTGTTAGATGAAATCAAACGAAAGGCATTAGAAACGGATTCTAATAAAAAAGATCCCGGTGATATAAACTCTCATATGGCATTAATGCAGATGTCTCAGTCAGACATGATGCAACAAATATCCCAGTTACAAGATGGGTTAAATCAAGTTATTCATGAACTAGAAGAAACTAAAAAGAAGCAAAACTTACAGCAACAAGTTATGAAGGATATCATGGATGTGATGACAAGACAATATGGAACAACATGTAATTCTCTCTCTTTATTTATCAAGTTACACATTCATTAACCCTGCCCTTTCTAGTTAATCTATCGTTGGATGGATCATCGATCGAACTAAAACAAGACCCCGAAAGACCACCTCCACCCATTTATATAACAACACCTGAACAACAAGATCAGAATCTATATTTAAATATAAATCAACATAGATTGTCTATCCAAAGATCACCCTCTCCAAGTCCAACCTTTACATCTTCCATACAGTCACCTTTACCTCCTAGTCCATGTACACCCCATTTCCTTAGTGATGACGAAGCCAATTCTATCTATTCTCCTCGAAGTCCATTATCTTATAATGCTCACTTGATAGAACAATCACAACAACAACAACAACAACAGCAGCAGCAGCAGCAACAACTACATCAACAACATCAACAACAATTGCAACAATTACAACAGTTACATCACAGACAGGAATTGGAACAGCTACAACAACAACAACCTTATCATACATTTAATACTTGAATAAATTATTGTTTAATAATACAGTCAAGAAAACAAAATGTCTGTATCAGAGTGATAGACAGCTACTGCTGTACTCATCCTTAGCTATCCTCAAGCATCAATTCAGATAATGACAAAAAGAAAGACATGGTATTCACATTCCACATAATGATACCCCCTCCTTCTTTCTCTTTGACTATAAATAAAAAAGAAACACCAGCTTCTCTACAACAACAGTCTTAAAAAGTGCTTAAAACTGAGGAATAGGATAGAATATGAGTATTTCTAAAGATCAATATAAAAGATCCATCTATAAGCTACTAATAACTAAGAGAAAGAAGAAAGACAAAAGGAGACCATTGATATAAATGGTATTTCCTGTGACTTATGGTGTCTTTAAATAATCTATTTTCCTTTTTTTTTTAAAAAAAATAGAAAGGTATAGAAATACACAAATCATAAAAGTAAAACTCAATCCAACCACTTTGATCATTAGCTCAACATAAATGCTTCCACTGTCACTCTTACACACAGCTGCTGGACATCCCATGCTGGTCGAATTAAAAAGCGGCGAAACATTCAACGGACACTTGGTCAATTGCGACAATTGGATGAATTTGACATTACGTGAAGTAATTCAAACATCACCTGAAGGAGACAAATTTTGGAGACTACCTGAATGTTACATCAGAGGCAATACCATCAAGTACTTGAACGTGCCAGAAGAAATTGTGGATATGGTAAAAGAAGAGGAAGGAAGACAGAGACAGCTTGCTGCACGTAACCGTGGACGAGGCGGACAGAATAATAATCGTGGTCGCGGTAACAATCGTAATCAAAATCGTACAGGAGGACGAGGTGGCTCAAACGTTGCTAAATAAAAAGAGAGAGAGAGAGAGAGAAAACAAGTGTTATGAATGCATTATGAGCACTGTAGAATAAATTTATTCATGATATACGTGTGAAAAGATATTACATTATTATTAGTAGTATATGTATATATGTAGATAGATTAACATTCGCCTTCAGGGCAAGAAAAGGTTACGACGGAGCCTTTTACATTAGCAATCTTGAAAACGGCCTGAAGGATAGCGGAGATACCTTGACCAGCAATCATACCAGCAGCAACGCTGTACATGAGGTTATCGTAGGCAGTGCTTCTGAGGCGCTTCCAGATTTTACCAGAAATCCAGCCAATAAGCATAGCGATAGGCACCTCAGGAGAAGTATTGACCATGGCAATACCAACTGCACTGACTGAGGGGTAGAATCTGTGGTACTTTTGAGGTACAAAGAAATGACGAACCAAGGGAAAGATAACACCGGCAATAGCACAAATAATGGTCGTGATCATTGAGTTTCGACTGAGAGGTTCAGCTGCACCTGTGAGGAGTTTGGCGACATTGGCCCATGCCTTGACAGCGACGAGACCAAATTCACACTTGTCATCGAGGTTTTGAGAAATGATGCAAGGATAAGCATCTGCAAAGAGAATAAAGAGACCAACGCCAATGGCAATGGCAAAGAAGGAAGCGACAAACTGAGCCCAGAATTGAGAGCGAGGAGAAGCGCCGACGAGTTGGCCTGTCTTTAGGTCACCGACCATATCTACAGCCTGAGAGGCAGCCGAAGCAGAGATGTTACCTGCCATCAAGTTGTTCTTCATCATCGCCTTGAGACTGTCGGCTGGCATCTTGGCAAACACAAGCTGAGACATCTTACCGATGGATCCTACAGGATTGATATCCGTTTCACCTGAGGCCTGGATACCCACAAAAGAGAACAAGAAACCGAGAATGATGGCAATAATGGACTGATATACAGGCATACCAAAGTATCGACCCATAATAGCACACGTAAAGATGACCGAGACCAGCGTGCCAGAGACCCACCAGGAGGCAGGGATCAGCTCTTCAGGCTTGTAGATTTCGTTTGTATCAGTCACATCCTTGTACTTGTTTATCTCTCCCTCTGTCAATTGGGCTTTAAGGACCACGCGACGGAAATAATGGACACCACGCATGACGGCAGATCGTATTTCAAGAACGCCACCCTTGATACCACGCCAGAGTGACTGGTAATGGATGAGGAGTTCGGTGAAGGCAGTGATGGTCATTAGAGCAATACCAGGCCACAAAAAGAATCGGTTGGTCGTGTCACCCTTGGCGTTAAATCCCATAGGGGCAACGAATTCTCCTGTTCCAACCAAACAGGGACCAATAATACCGTACACAAAGAGAGTGCCAAAAAAGAAAGAAAGCACGGTAGAGCCAGGCGTCATGAGACCAGCGCCAAAGAAGGGAAAGTCCCACTTGAAGTTCCATCCCCAGTCAACATCGGCGCTCATCAGAGGGGTGTAGTTTGCAGCATGGCCAATGTAGTAAAGGATATGCACTGTTGATAAAGGACATTTTTAGCATACACGTAATATAACGCCTGTAGACATTCTATTTTCCCTGTACCTGTATCAAAGAATGGAATGAAATAGGAGATCAAACTCCAGAGGAAACAAATAACAAACCAGATACCCATCCAGATAGCTTTCTTCATTGCCTCTCGCTCCCCATCAGCTGTATCATGTAAAGACAAAATGGTAACTGCAGCTGCGCGAGGAGTAGGGAAAGTCAAGTCTTGCTTAACAACAAAGTGTTTACGAAGAGGAACAGCAAAGAAAAGACCGTAAAAGGCAGCAGAGATAGTAAACAAGACAAGGCCTGCAGCGTCTCCTCTAGGAGTTGTCATCAGACCTAATTTATACATTGCAGGAATACCGGACACGAAGCCAGCAGAGAGACCACCAGCTGTAGTGGCTGCAGATTGAGCAGTACAGTTTTCTTTAGGACCAAAGTATCCTCCACCCCATTTAGGAGGAAGTGCCTTTGAAAGAGGCTTGATGATCGCAAAAGAGAATATGGCGCCAAATAAAGAAGCACCAAACGTCCAGCCGATCTTTAGACCGAGATATGTATTGGATGCAGCTAATGAAAAAAGCAGAAGGTTAGCAAGTGTCACTTTTTCTTTTTGTGATCCCATTTACCAACTAAGCAACCAAGTAAAGAACCAACGATGGAAGCACGCCAGGTGAACTGATATTCTTCAACAAACTGATGCGCTAAAGTGGCAGGGTCTACAGCAACCTGACTTGTATTTTCGTGTTCATAGATTTCTTTCTTTTCATCCGTTAACGTATGATTCAACTCGAATCTTTCGTCAACAGCCTTTGGATTTGTTGACATATTGAATGAATGAAGAAGAAAAAGAAGAGATGAATCTGTTATCGTTCAATGGTTTTAAAACCAAAAAAAAAATCAGCAAACATTCACTTTCGCACGAATGATTCCTTGGATTCAACGTGAACAAGCGTTGGTATGGTTACTTGGTGCTACGTGTTGCCAAGGAATACTTAAATCTCCAATTCCAAAATTGGAAGGTTCTTATAGTAATTCCATCGTCAAATGGCCACTTTGCCGAAAAAATTGGTCAAGTTGTTGAATTTAAGAAACCGATTTGCAGGAATAATCACTGTGTGATAGACACGGAACAGAAAATACAGGTACAAAACTCTAATTTTGAGAAAATTTAAAAGTAAAAAGCACAATATCCTTGTGCTGTTAAGTAACTAAACGCCTTTATTGTGAAGATCAAAAGAGATATAATCCTAAAAGCTCATATTGAATCGTTTAATTGGAGAGATCGAAATTGTATATAAAATAAAATAACCAATCTATTGCACAATTTAGAAGAGATCAATTTAAGTAAAGAAATGAAAGAAGCGTGGGACAGGCTATGAATGGTAGTCTTCTTGTGCGCAAAAGAATAAGATGATTTTTCTATCTATAGCAGCAAGCATTACTCCCATTCAACTACGTGACTTTTTGAATGGCCTTTTTTCACTCATTAGCAGAGAGAACAGAAGGAGAAGAGAGAGAGAGGATGGGGAAGTAACTGGGGTAAAGAGTGTTTTATAGAATGAATAATGGCACATCCAAAATGTTCTTTCAAGCGTGTTCCTATTTATTCTATAGTGATTCCCTTTTAAAGTAATCACTGTGGATTATAATCCAAGTGATTTTGTAGAACCGTTTCTACAACCAAATCAGTCAGTTGGTGAAACGGAGGCGAAAAATGTGATACATGCTCCGAGCTACACCTTATATTCCATATATATAAATAAAAGACAAATAAGGTACTTCTTTTCTTCATATCTTTCTATGCTAGCACACATAATAATTTTCTATTCATTTTTTTTTCTGGGGGCGGGATCAACTTAATCTGTAGATTAAATCCACTTACGATACCATGGGCGGGTGGATATCACATTTTTCGCATCCGTTTCACTAACTGACTGATTGCATATCGTGCCTAACACAATCATAGTTGACTCCACTTTGGCTCCTAATGTTATATTGTTCTCCAGTGAAAAAATTGAATTTGCAATCTTAGTACTTGTAGTGTCTTGAGCCCTGGGCTTGTATAGTACTTCTCAAACGTGTCATGGTTCAAACTCCAGTTTGCATGTTGTTTTATTGCTTGAATCATATTTCCTTTCTCAACAGCTTTCGTGATGCTTGCTGACCTTAGCGAGTGAGCCTTGAAATATGCTGTATCTACTCTTGCTTCTTCCATCTCACCTTGGATCCATTTTGCCACTGTGGCAGGTCGAACTGAGGCTACACTCTTGCTGGAACTACTCAAATATGCCAAGAATAAAGTATGATTTTGTTTTATGAAGGCGTATAACGTCCTCACTAGGCATAGTTGTTGGCCTTCTCCTGGTCCGAGCTATATGATCTTCCGTTATGCTTCTTTTGGATGTCTAGCATGGATTGTCACACTTATAATGTCTTGATTTTCTTGTTGAAAGAAGATATTCCTGTGTTGTAGGCAATCTATGCCCGAGAGAGGATACTACAGTGTTGCAATACATAACAAAAGGATTGCTTTCATTTAGAGTGCTTGCAATGACAGATCGTTGTTGGTGGAATATTTCACTTGCAGATAAAAAACGAGACATCAAGCACGTCTGGGAAATTTACGAGCTTACTCAGCTGGCTTAACATCTTTTATGATGATGTATAGCTCACAAAAATCAGTTTATTGAAAGGTTACATCATAAATATTTATTGTATTTAAAAATAGCAAGATAAGCTTAAAAGCGAGGCAGAAGAAAAAGTAAAGAATGTATATGTTTGCTTACTTTGACATATGAATAGTTATAGGTACATCATGAAGTGAAACTACTGATTCTGAAGTAAAAAAAAAAAAAAAAAAAAAAAAAAAAGCACTACTCTTTATCTGCAGCCTGGGTCATTATAGTTAATGACAGAATTTCTAATTCAAATGAGACAGTTGCTTCTTTTTGATTTAGAGCTTCTAGCTCTTTCAACTTCATTCAGAACAAGGCTGCACAGCGTCAAAGCCATTCAAGTTCCGAGGGATGAAGTAAGATCCTACTTTGGCCATTCGGTATACTACTGGCACCTTCAAATCCATTTTAAATACATCACATTTAAAGCCTACAAGTGTACAAATTTTAGAGCATTGGCTCATAATAATTGCAGATAAACATTTAATGTTTACCATGAACTATTGTTCTAAACATCACTAGAGAATTAATGCCAATGTTCACTAATCGATTCAACAAGATTTGCATTTTCATTGAAAGCTTAAAAAAGTCGCCGCTGACCCTGCTATTGAAACACTTTACCTCTAAGATAAGAAAATCCATCTTCTGTTGTTTGATTAGGGCACTGTACTTTATATCGGGCTTTATGCGGCTGCTTCCTGCCAACTTGGTAAAATTTCTAGTGAAAGCGATAGACATCAGTATTCCATG